GGCCAGGGCTGGCTGCTGAGTTCCCCTCAGGCACTGCAAGGCCTGTACCCCAGTGGATTGTGGGAGCTGATGGCCAGGGCTGCGTGCTGACATCCCATCAGGCACTGGGAGGCTGTACCCCCAGTAGATTATGCAAGACTGATGGCCAGGGCTGGCTGCTGAGTTCCCAGCAGGCACTGGGATACCTGAGCTTCAGTGGACTGCGGGAGGCCAGGGCTGGATGTATTGATTGGATGGATGGATTGAGAGGCCTGCATCCCAGTCTATTGTGCAAGACTGACAGCCAGGGCTGGACGCTGAGTTCCCATCAGGCTTTAGGAGGCCTGTGCCCCAGTGAAGTATGGAGAACTGGAGGCCAAACCTGGATGCTGAGTTCCCATCAAGCATTGGGAGGCCAGTGCCCCAGGAGATGGTGGAGGCTGGAGGCCAGATACAAGATGCACTTCTCCGTGATTCCTTGGAGAATCCCAACACTGTGGGAGGCTGGCTTGCCTGGCACCAAGCACTGTGGGGATGGATGGGAGGGGGGCAAGGATGGCAATAGTGGGTTTGAACAAGTAGATGCAGGGGTCTCCATAAGTGGGGTGAGTTTCTGTGTCCTCCACAAGTATTTCCTGAGCACTCACTGTGTGCCAGGCTCCATTCCCTGAAAGCAGCAATGAATTTTATTTTATTTTATTTTATTTTTGAGATGGAGTCTTGCTCTGTCATCTGCAATCGTGTAATCTTGGCTCACTGCAACCTCCACCTTCTGGATTCGAACCATTCTCCTGCCTCAGCCTCCCAAGTAGTTGGGATTACAGGTGCCTATTACCACGCCCAGCTAATTTTTGTATTTTTAGTAGAGACAGGATTTTACCATGTTGGTCAGGCTGGTCTTGATCTCCTGACCTCGTGATCCACCCGCCTCGGCCTCCCAAAGTGTTGGGATTACAGGTGTGAGCCACTGCACCCGGCACAGCAATGAATTTTTGCTAGGACAGAAATCCTAGCTGGGTACAGTGGTGCACACCTATAGTCCCAGCTACTTGGGAGGTTGAGGTAGGGGGGATCACTGGAACTCAGGAGTTCCAGGCCAGCCTGGGCAACATAATGAGGCTCTCATCTCTAAAAAAAATTATTTTAACTATGTAGGTGTGGTGGCGTGTGCCTGTGGTCCCAGCTACTCGAGAGACTGAGATAGGAGGATCACTTGAGCCCAGGAATTGGAGACCAGCCTGTGCAACATAGTGAGACCCCATATCTCCACAAAAAATACAAAAATTAGCCAGGCATGGCTAGTTGTAGTTCCAGCTACTTGGGAGGCTGAGGTGGGAAGATTGCCAGAATCTGGGAGATTGAGGCTGCAGTGACTATGATTGCACCGCTGCGCTCCAGCCTGGGTGACAGAGCAAGACCTTGTCTGAAAATAAAAAAAAGGAGGCCGGGCACGGTGGCTCAAGCCTGTAATCCCAGCACTTTGGGAGACTGAGACGGGCGGATCACGAGATCAGCAGATCGAGACCATCCTGGCTAACACGGTGAAACCCCGTCTCTACTAAAAATACAAAAAACTAGCAGGGCGACGTGGCAGACGCCTGTAGTCCCAGCTACTCGGGAGGCTGAGGCAGGAGAATGGGGTTGAGGCGGAGGTTGCAGTGAACTGAGATCCGGCCACTGCACTCCAGCCTGGGCAGCAGAGCGAGACTCCGTCTCAAGAAAAAATAAAAATGAATTTAAAAAAAATAAAGGAAAATTAAATCCTAGTCCTAGCAGAGCTGACACGTAATGTGGGCCCTGCCCTGGCCCTGGCTCAGTGGGTGATCGGGCACTGGGATGGAATGCCCCTAGTCTTCTCCCAACTCTCTCCCTTCGCCCTCCAGTGGTGATTAGCAAAGGGGGAGGGAGGGGAGAGAGGGTTCAGCATCTCCCACCCCTGCAGGTGATGTTCTGCACCCTGAACACCCACAAAGTGGACATGGACAAGCTCCTGGGGGGCCAGATCGGGCTGGAGGACTTCATCTTCGCCCACGTGAAGGGGCAGCGCAAGGAGGTGGAGGTGTTCAAGTCGGAGGATGCACTCGGGCTCACCATCACGGACAATGGGGCTGGCTACGCCTTCATCAAGGTGCCTGGGGAGACGGGGCACCTCGGAGGTCTGGGAGTGAGGGTGGGCCACGGGACCCTGGAAACCAAGGCAGAGCCCCAAGGGCTGATGACTTCCCATCCCCGCAGCGCATCAAGGAGGGCAGCGTGATCGACCACATCCACCTCATCAGTGTGGGCGACATGATCGAGGCCATTAACGGGCAGAGCCTGCTGGGCTGCCGGCACTACGAGGTGGCCCGGCTGCTCAAGGAGCTGCCCCGAGGCCGTACCTTCACGCTGAAGCTCACGGAGCCTCGCAAGGCCTTCGGTGAGGAGCCGCCCCGTGTACCTCCCCAATGGCGCTTCTCACGTGGGCGCAGGCGGTGGTGCCGGGAGCGGCCAGCAGGTGGCGCCCGAGCCTGGCCAGCCGAAAGGGAAGTGGGTGCAGCTCCTCCCGGTCCCGAGACGAGGTGCTGGTCCTTGGCCCAGCCGGAGAGAAGGGCGGGGGCAAGGAGGAAGGTGTCCTCACCCCTGGCCAGCCCCCACCCCCAACAGACCAGGCTTGGCCGCTCAGTACCAGCCCCCCCACTTTTCCATCTGGCTTCACTAACTCTAAGGAATGGGCCCCAGGCCCCTGAGATGGGGGTGGGGGACTGAATCACTTCCCCGGGCAGGTAGGGCTGGTCTGTGGCCCAGGAGCCATACCCCCTTGGCCAAGAGGAGACGGACTCAGGCAGCTGGAGACTTAGGCTGGGGTACACCCGCTTCCTGTCCCAGGCCCTGGGAGCAGAAGTGGCCCCTGCAGTCTCCCCTCTAGCATTTCCTATTCCTGGCCCCCAGCTGTCCCCCCTGCTCTGCGCCACATCCATGCCAGGCCTCAGTCAGGATTCCTGCCCTGGCCCCAGCCCCCAGGAACTTGCAGAAGCTTGGAGAAGTTTGGGGTGGTGTCGAAAGCCAGGAGGGCCAAGTTCCTGCCCAGAGCGTGCTAAAACCGAGCTTCCCCCACACGCACCCCTCTCCTACCTCCCACAGACATGATCAGCCAACGCTCAGCGGGTGGCCGCCCTGGCTCCGGCCCACAGCTGGGCACTGGCCGAGGGACCCTGCGGCTCCGATCCCGGGGCCCTGCCACGGTGGAGGATCTGGTGAGTGAGTGCTCCAGCTGGACCCTATCTCCAGCATTCCTTCCCTTTCTTTTTCTTGAGACAGAGTCTCACTGTTGTCACCCAGGCTGGAGTGTAGTAGCGCGATCTCGGCTCACTGCAACCTCAGCCTCACAGGTTCAAGCGATTCTCCTGCCTCAGCCTCCCAAGTAGCTGGGACTACAGGCGCCCGCCACCATGCCCGGCTGATTTTTGTATTTTTAGCAGAGACGGGGTTTCACCGTGTTAGCCAGGCTGGTCTCGAACTCCTGGCCTCAGGTGATCCAACCTCCTTGGCCTCCCAAAGTGCTGGGATTATAGGCGTGAGCCACCACCCCCAGCCCTCCCTTCCTTTTCATAATAGGCAGCATTACCTGTGAGCTGAGGGGACTCTGGGCAGACAGCCTGGATTCTAGTCCACTTCTGCCACTTCCCAGCTCCCAGGGACCTTCCTTGGGCACGCGGGCCTCAGTTTGCCCATCAGTAAAATGGGGATGAGATGAACACCGATACCTCCTTCTCAGGGTTGTCCTGAGGTCTAAATAAGAATATATGTAAAGTGGTGACAAGGGCGGTCAGTCCAATTACAATGTATATTCACATCGTTATGATGTTGCTGTCACCCCTCCTGGCCCCCAGCCCTCCGCCTTTGAAGAGAAGGCCATTGAGAAGGTGGATGACCTGCTGGAGAGTTACATGGGTATCAGGGACACGGAGTTGGGTAAGTGAGGGCTGCCTGCGGGGGCATGGGGGGGGGCAGCATCTAGGTCTGGTGCTGGCTGAATCCACCCTGAGCCCCTTGGTCCCTGGTGTCATTTGTGCCTCCATTCTGCCCCCTCCCCCAATAGCGGCCACCATGGTGGAGCTGGGAAAGGACAAAAGGAACCCGGATGAGCTGGCCGAAGCCCTGGACGAACGGCTGGGTGACTTTGCCTTCCCTGACGAATTCGTCTTTGACGTCTGGGGTGCCATCGGGGACGCCAAGGTCGGCCGCTACTAGGACTCCCCCCGGACCCTGCGATGATGACCCAGGCCCAACCTGGTGGGGGCCCCCAGCAGGGACACTGACATCAGGACTCAAGCCTCCAGCCTGAGCCTAGCTCAGCAGCCCAAGGATGATGGGGAGGGGAGGTGGGGCCGGGCCCCCTGCCCTGCTCCAATCGGTACCGTCCCCTCCCCGGTTCCCAATCTGTCCGGGGTCCCCGGCCCCCCTGTGCCCTGTTCCCCACCTACCTCAGCCGGGTCAGGCACGGGGAGGGGAGGGATCAGCCAAATTGGGCGGCCACCCCCGCCTCCACCACTTTCCACCATCAGCTGCCAAACTGGTCCCTCCGTCTCCCTGGGGCCTTGGGTTCTGCTTGGGGGTCATGACCTTCCTAGTTTCCTGACGCAGGGAATATAGGGGAGAGGGTTGTCCCTCCCCCCAGCAAATGCAATAATGCCCTCGCCCCTCCTGAGAGGAGCCCCCTCCCCATGGAGCCTGTTACCTCCGCATTTGACATGAGGCTGCTGTGAACCCCCCAACCTCCTCCCCAACTCCCGTCTCCCCCTCCAGGCCTATCCCTGGCCCAGAGCAGGAGGGAGGGAGGGACGATGGCGGTGGGCTTTTGTATCTGAATTTGCTGTCTTGAACATAAAGAATCTATCTGCTGTTGGACCTGTGTGGCTTCGGGGTGGGAGAGGGGGAGGGTCGGGGCTGAGAAAGAATTCAGCAGCTGAAATCCATCTTCCGCAGGCTCCAAATTGAATTAGGAGCTGGCACCAGGCCGCCTGCCCCCTCCCACTGTTCCTCCTGGCTGCAGGCCACCAGACTTCCAGGCAGGGCCAGAGCTTCCTGGACTACTGAGGGTTCAAATCCTGCCCCCTCTCCCACAAGGCCTCCCGCCCCCTGGAGCTTCACAAGGCTGCCGTCTGCAGCCGGTGACAACCCCTGGACTGGGGGGAGTACCAGGGCATTGAAACTTGGCTTGGAAATGGAACCTCAGGCCTGCCAGAGCCCCATCCCTACACCGGGAAGTTGGGGGCAGACACGATGCAGCCCCCACCCCACGCGGCCCAATGCTGGACATGCAGGCGTCCATGGGGCACCCTGCTTACTAAACCCGGCATACTTGTTTTGACAACCCACTCATCTTCAAGGATTGAGGGTGATCAGGGAAAGGCGGGGTGGGACCCTGGCCAGACCTGGAGACAAGGGAAGGGATTGAAGCAAGGGGTGCTGGGCCACAGGGCCCCACAGGAATGTTTGGGGGTGAGCCGAGAGGCTGTGGGGAAGTCTGAGGCCAGCTTGCAATCCTCGTTCCAACAGGCGGGCTGGCACTGGGCTACCAGGAAGAGGGGAAGGGGGAAAAAGGGAAGACCCTCGGGGCTGGGTGTTGGTGTGCAGACCCGGGTGGAGTGGGGGAGCCACTGTCCTGGTGACTCGGGGCAGACCTGAGCACCTGTGGGCTCCTCGGGTGTCTGTGCTGGGAGCCGGCTGTGGTGGTGAAGGGGTGTGGCTGTGTGCGTCTCGGGGGTTGGGTAGGACGGTGCGTCTATCAGAGTGCTGATGGCTCATGGCACGGGGAGGGTGAGGGAGGGCTGTGTTGTGGGTGAGGGATGTGATCACTGGCTCTGTGTTCCAGGGCAACTGCAGGTGTAACTGGCAGTGTCTGGTGGTGGGGAGTGCAATGGAGTGACTGTCAGCGTGTCCTGGGATGTGGGTGTGTTTGTCTTAGGGTGCTGTTGTTTCTGGGGCAAGGAGGGGTGCCTGGCTAGGTCTCGGGGTGTTCAGGGGTGTTAGGGTATGTCTCAGGGTGTTGCTGTTTCCTGGGTGGGGGTGCTGGCTAGGTCTCGAGGTGTCTAGGGAGGCAGGTGTGTGTCTGTCTCAGGGCGTTGCTGTTTCGGGGTGAGGGTGGGGGTGGCCAGCTAGGTCTCTGGCGTCCAGGGGCAGGGGGTGTCACTTCTTGTGCCTTAGGTGTACGGAGTGTGCTGGTGGGGCCTATCTGGGATTGTTGGGGGGTCATTACAAGTCATACAGAGTGTGACCAGGGGCAGTTTTGGCAGTAAGGAGTGTGTGTGTGTGTGTGTGTGTCTGTCTCTCGGTGCCAAGCGAGACCCTATTTCCCAGCACTAAGGAGTGTGATGTGGGTGCTCATCTCAGAGGTCTGCATTTTGGGGTGTTGAGGGGAGGGCTGGAATTGAGGTAGTAACTCTGGGTGTGTCCTGGCGCTGGGGGTAAGACCCTGAGTTCAGGGATGTGGTGGCAGCAACCTGGCTGTGCTGAGATGGGGACAGGATGAAACTGAGCGGTAAGTGACAGGATTGTCTTAGGGTGTGAGACTGTGCCAGTGTGACCCTACTTCTCAGGGCAGGAGGCGAGTCTTTGTGGCTTAGGACGTGTGTCCCAGGTGTCACTCAGCCCATCTTAAAGCAGGAGCCAGACACTGGGGAGAGTCCCCAGGTCGCCAGGCCTCCTGGTTCCCCTGCCCCCTTTCAGCCGCCTCCTCTCGCCTCCCAGGATATGACTCGCTGTGGCCCTAGCCGGGGCTTAAGCCCCTGTATAAATAGTAGGCGGATCCCCTGGCCAGGCTGGGCCTGACCCAAGCCAGTCTGCCCGAGGCCTTGCCCACCAGCACCCACCCCAATGTCCATGAAGGCTTTAGCAGGGCAAGGGGGCATTGCTGCCCCCACAGAATTGGAGTTAGCCCCTCTAGTCCCAAAGCTCCAGGGAGGGGGGCAGTGGCACCCCCTGCAGCTGCCCCAGCCTGCCCCAGACGACACTCACATTTTCCAGTGTTTAGATTTTATCCACTTTATTAATGAGGCAAGAGGCCCGAGCCTTGGGGGAAGGGGGCTACTCCCGCCCTGCTGGGAGGAGGGGGTCACAGGGGGCCAGAACGACTCCAGGGAGCCTCCCTCCTCATGGAGGGAGCCGCTGGGGCCCAGAGTGGCCCCCATCCATTGCCAGGAGCAGAGAGGGGGGTCCCTGCCATTCCAGGCCCCAAGCGGGCGTGCGCGGGGTGGAGCGGCCCCTGGAGGCCAGCAAGGGCTGCGGGAGGAGCCGAGGAGCCGCCCCAGGAAGAGGGAGGGAGGAAGCGGCCTGCCGGAGAGCCAGGGCGCAGTGGGCAGCAGGGCTGAGCGGCCAGTGATGGGGACCCCGCATCCCAGGCAGTGCTGGGTAAGCGGGTTGCGCATGAGGGTCCCTGGCTGGGGAGGAGGAGGGCATGAAGGGGTGGGGCCATGGCCACCTGTCTGTCCATCCTGTGTCCCTGGGCTCTTCCCCCCGATCTGTGTGTCCCTGTCATCGTCTGTCCATCCTCTCTTCCCATCTGGCCTGGTGGACGGTTCCGCCCTTTCCACCCTCACCACCAGGATATCAAAGAGTGGATGGTCATGGCCTCTGGGGGCAGGGACATGGAGCGGAACCGTGGGCAGCCAGGGTGAGGCAGAGGTGATCGCGGTGGGGCCTGGCGAGAGACCGCAGTGGATCAGAGGCAGGTCCATGGGGCAGGGGTAGAGATGGGTCCATGGCACGGATGTAGTTGTGCCATGTGGGGTCGGAGATGGGTCCATGGGGGACAGGGACATGGCCGTGGGGAGAGATGTGCCCATGGTGGTAGAGATGGGGCTGGGGTATCTCGAGGATGGGACTGCAGTAAAGCTGATATGGGGAAAGTCAGGTAGGACCACAGGGGCAGAAATGGGTGAGACCTATCAGATGGAGCCACAGGCCCCAGGAATTTGCTACGGTGTAAAAATGGAAGGTGGGGGTCAGAGGGGGATCTGTGAGGCCCGGAGGCACTGGCAGAGATGCCTGAGGGCAGGGCTCGGGGGAATCTTGCAGGAAACCATGAAGGACAGAGAAGGGGCCAGTGGGGACAGAGGGAGGCCCTGGAGCAGGAGATGGGGCGGTGAGAGGCAAAAGAGAGGGAGGAGGGTTTCCAAATGGAGTGGCCAGGTCATTTGGAGTTGCCATGGGCAGAGGGGCTGCCTGATAACGCCAGGGAGTCAAACGGGCCTGATGTTCTGAGATGGCACCGTGGGCTGGTCCCCGCCCGGGCCCAGCCAGCCTCACTCTGCCCTCTTCTCCTCTACCCAGCACTCCCGGCGCCTGACATGAGCCCTTGCGGGCCCCTCAACCTGAGCCTGGCGGGCCAGGCGACCACATGCGCGGCGCCCTGGGTCCCCAACGCGTCGGCCGTGCCGCCGTCGGGCGCTTCGCCCGCCCTGCCCATCTTCTCCATGACGCTGGGCGCCGTGTCCAACCTGCTGGCGCTGGCGCTGCTGGCGCAGGCCGCGGGCCGCCTGCGACGCCGCCGCTCGGCCGCCACCTTCCTGCTGTTCGTGGCCAGCCTGCTGGCCACCGACCTGGCAGGCCACGTGATCCCGGGCGCGCTAGTGCTGCGCCTGTACACTGCGGGGCGCGCTCCGGCCGGCGGGGCCTGCCACTTCCTGGGCGGCTGCATGGTCTTCTTCGGCCTGTGCCCGCTGCTGCTGGGCTGCGGCATGGCGGTGGAGCGCTGCGTGGGCGTCACGCGGCCGCTGCTCCACGCCGCTCGGGTCTCGGTCTCCCGCGCGCGCCTGGCGCTGGCCGCGGTAGCTGCGGTGGCCTTAGCCGTCGCGCTGCTACCCCTGGCGCGCGTGGGCCGCTACGAGCTGCAGTACCCGGGCACGTGGTGCTTCATCGGCCTGGGTCCCTCCGGCGGCTGGCGCCAGGCACTGCTCGCCGGCCTCTTCGCCGGCCTCGGCCTGGTGGCTCTCCTCGCCGCGCTGGTGTGCAACACGCTCAGCGGCCTGGCCCTGCTACGCGCCCGCTGGCGACGCCGCTCCCGAGGGCCTCCCCCGGCCTCGGGCCCCGACAGCCGGCGTCGCTGGGGGGCGCGCGGACCCCGCTCGGCCTCCGCCTCGTCCGCCTCGTCCATCGCTTCAGCCTCCACAGCCTTTGGCGGCTCCCAGAGCCGCGGCTCGGCACGCAAAGCTCGCACCCACGACGTAGAGATGGTGGGCCAGCTTGTCGGTATCATGGTGGTGTCGTGCATCTGCTGGAGCCCAATGCTGGTGAGGGGCGCACCGGCCCCTCGAGCCACGCTCCTTCCCGCTCCCTCTCAACACCCTCCGCCCTTCGTTGTCCCAGGACACCTTGGGCCTCCGTCCTGGACCCAACCAAGGCCCCGGCCCCTGGAGACCCCATCCCACCTGCCCCGAAAGCCAGCATGGCCTTCTCCATCTGACCTGCCATCCTTCCTCCTAGCCCCCCTCTCTTCTTCCTTTTTGGGGTCTCTGTAGCGCACCCCGACCCACACAAGCCTCCTCTCCTGCCCAACCATTATAAGCCCCGCGCTTCATTCCCTAGTCCTTTCACCCAACCCCCTCGTTTTTCCTCTTTCCGGGACACCTGAGACTCCTCTCCGGCCGGAGCCTCCACCCACTGAAGGTGTTTGTTTTTTTGCCTCCCTCCTTTTTTCCCGCATCCCCTTCCCACCTGGATCCCCATTCACCCTGCCTGCGACGGCTCGCCCCTCCTCCCAGGCTTTTACCTTCCAGCCACGCCCCCACCATCCCTGCGCCCCTCTGCGCCCGCGCCCGCCAAACGGCTCACACCGGCTTCCCCCGCAGGTGTTGGTGGCGCTGGCCGTCGGGGGCTGGAGTTCTACCTCCCTGCAGCGGCCACTATTCCTGGCCGTGCGCCTTGCCTCCTGGAACCAGATCCTGGACCCTTGGGTGTACATCCTGCTGCGCCAGGCCGTGCTGCGCCAACTGCTTCGCTTCCTGCCCCCGAGGGCCGGGGCCAAGGGCGGCCCCGCGGGCCTGGGCCTAACCCCGAGCGCCTGGGAGGCCAGCTCGCTGCGCAGCTCCCGGCACAGCGGCCTTAGCCACTTCTAAGCACAACCGGAGGCCCAACGACGAAGCCAACCCACCCTGGGGCCGGGCCCAGGTGCGCGGCGCAGAGCCTTTGAGGAATAAAAAGCCATTCTGCGAGCCCAGACAGAGCGGTGAGTCCCGTCGGGGCTTCGGCATCCACTGGGGCCGCGCAAGGGGTAGCAGAGGCGCCAATGCGCTTCCAGGGTGGGTGCAGTTCCGGGGCCTACCAGAAGATGGCGCGGAGACACCGAGGTGCGGTTCTAGGAGGCTTGAGGGTGCCCGACCGTGGACTTCCGAAACCATTCTGCTCACTGTGGCTTTGAGTTCTTCCAATACAGCCCCAAAACCCTGTCCCCAAACCATTTTGCCCCATGTCCCTGGGCGCCCCCCAACACAATCCCCACCCCCTCCCATCTCAGCTTACCCACGCTCCCCACTATAAGAACAGCTCCGAGTCCACGCCGCCCCTTGATCCTCTTCAAATGACACCCCCATCACTGGAGACTCCCACGATCAACCAGCCACCTGCCCCCAAACGTCCACACCTCCAAGCACACCCCCACCGCCAATGACTGCACACAAGAAGACACGCAAGATGCATGGATCAGGCAAATCCCAAAGGCCTTTTTAAAAACTAACAGCTCTCGGGCAGGGGAAGGGGCAGGGGAGGGGGCTAGCAGCCCCCCGCCACGAAGTCGAAGTCCAGGAAGGCCGCCTGCTCCGCGGCTGTGAGGGGTCGCGCGTCACGGGGCGGGCTCAGTGTGGGGGCCTCCCCGGTGAACTCCTCATCAAAGTTGCTGACGTCGGTGCGGCCAGACAGCGTGGGCACAAAAGGCGGCGGCAGGCGCCGGGCCAACAGGGCTTCCCAGCCCAGAGTCTGCAGGGGAGGGAAGCGGAGGGGAGGGTCAGCCTAGGAGGCTGAGGAGGGGGCATGCTGCAGTGGGGACCAGTCCTAGGGCTTGGGGACCCCGGAGAGGAGTCATCATATAGGGAAAAGTGGGGTGGGGGGACTGGGGCTCAGGAGGGATCACCTGCGATAGCCTGGTGGAGAAGCGGGATTAGGAAACAGTGGAGGCCAGGCGTGGTAGCTCACATCTGTAATCCCAGAACTTTGGGAGGCTGAGGTGGGAGGATCACTTGAGGCCAGGAGTTCAAGACCAGCCTGGCCAAAGTGGCAAAATCCCGTCTCTACTAAAAATACAAAAATTAGCCAGCTGTGGTGGAGTGGTGTGTGCCTGTAATCCCAGCTACCTGGGAGGCTGAGGCAGGAGAATCCCATGAATCTGGGAGGCGGAGGTTGCAGTGGGCCGAGATTGAGCCACTGCACTCCAGCCTGGGCAACAGAGTGAGACCCTGGCTCAAAAAAAAAAAAAGAGGCAGAGGAAAGTGGAGATGTGGGATTAGGAGGGTCCCTGGGGGGAACAAAAGTGGAGGAGGGAAATCGGGGTGTCAAAGGAGGTGACGATGTTGCCCTGGAGGTGCAACGAGGCCTTTGAGGCAAAGCGGCTAGGCCTGGGGGGCGTCGGGTGTGGGGTGATGAATTGGCCCCGGGGTAGGGCCGGGGTCACTGAGGTCCTTGTGGGGAACCTCACCCTGAAGAAAGGCTGTTTCTTCACATCTTCTGCATCTCTCTCGCTAGATCCCAGCCTCCGCTCTGGGTTCCTCCGCAGCAGCTTGGAGGAAGGAGCACTGTGTCAGGATCTGTCCCCTTCTGGGCCCCAGTGCCCCTCCCCAGGCCTGCCCCACATGGGGGGTCCTCACCCTTCTCATGATGCCGATGGCTTCGGCGGACAGGAAGCGGGGGTAGCGGACCTCATCGTTGACGATGCTATCGAAGACCTCCTCCTCGTCATCCCCTGGGAATGGGGACTGGGGAGAGGGAGGCCCGGGGTGAATGGGGCCTCTCCTCTGGCTGCTCCAAACCCAGCCCGGCCTGAGCCTTACACTCTGCTGCAGCTCTTGGGTGCTGGCTAACTCGGGCAGGGAAATGTCCCATTTTATAGAGGCGGAAACTGAGGCCAGGGACGCAGAGCCAGCAGCCCTCAATCACACAGCACTTGGTGGAGGCAGACTTGGATCCCACCCTAGGGCACACGCAGTTTCCAGTGAGATCCGAGACACACAGGGGTGGGGTCTCACCTCGCCAACCAGCATCTCGTAGAGCAGCACACCCAGCCCCCACCAGTCCACAGCCCGCGTGTATGAAGTGTCCGTCAGCACCTCAGGGGCCAGGAACTCCGGGGTCCCACAAAATGTGCTGGTCCGGTCCCCATAGCCCATCCCTGGGGACAGCAAGGCCATGTGAGGTTATGGGGGCCAGAGGAGTCACTCAGCCCAATGTGGGGTTGTCCACACAGCCAGCCCTGTGCCAGGGTCAAGGTGGGGGGTACCCCAAGTAGGGTTAGGGACCCCATTCCTTCCCCCTCCTTTGTCTAATCCCGAGGCCAGTCCCTCACCCTCCTTGCAGAGGCCAAAGTCTGTGATCTTGACGTAGCCCTCGGTGTCCAGAAGCAAATTGTCCAACTTCAGGTCCCTGTTGGGGGTTGGGGGGTGGAAAGAGGGATGAGCGGGGGTCTGGGCCCTGTCCCCACAACGGGCAGTGTGCACATGCATGCGCGCACCCACACACCTGTAGACAATCTTGTGTTCATGAAGAAACTGTAGGCCCAGCACCACGCAGGCGGAATAAAAGCTGCAGAGAGAGAGAGACTGCTGAGAGGGGTGGGGCCACCCTGCAAGCAGGGAGGGTCACATAAGCCTGGCTCCCACATCCTCAAAAGCCCCCCCGTCTCCCCAAAGCTCTGGGAGGCTGGGGGAAGCAAGGCCTGAGGGTGGAGGGGGGAGAAGCAGGCTGCCAGCCTCTGGGGGGGACTGAAATGTCAGACGCTGTGGAGGGAGGCGGGGCCCGGGCTGGGGGGCCAGGCTCACACGGCACGGGGCTCAGAGAACACGTCGCTGTGGATGTGAAGCATCAGGTCCCCACCGGCCGAGTACTCCATCACGAAGCACACGTGCTCCGGTGTCTGGAAACAGCCAAAGAGGTTCACCAGGAAGGGATGTCCCGCATTGGTCACTGCCGCCAAGATCCGCTTCTCACACATCAGGCTGGGGAGGGGTGGGGGACAGAAGTCAGAGACCATGGCCGCCGCTTACCCCCGACTCCCAGACGGCAAGCAAAGCCCATACAGAGGGAAGCAGAACTGAGAAATGTCATCTCAGCACCTGGATACAGCCATGCCTGAAGGCAGCCCACTCCTGGACTTTTCTGATGCAGACCAATACATTTCTTTACTTGTTTCGGCCTTTCTGAGTTGGGTTCCTGATTATCAAAAGAATGCTGGGAAGACCAAGGACAATCTCAGTGCCTGTACCGAATGTTTAGAGGGGTTAGGCACTATGTAGACAGCACCTGACAACCATGTGTGGAAGGCAGCAGCACCCCGTTTCCCCACATCAAGGGGGGTTCTTTTTTTTTTTTTTTTTTGTGAGACAGAGTCAAGCTGGAGCGCAGTGGCTCACTGCAACCTCTGCCTTCTGGGTTCAAGTGATTCTCCTGCCTCAGCCTCCCAAGTAGGTAGGACTACAGACACCCACTACCACGCCCGGCTGATTTTTGTATTTTTAGTATAGACGGGGTTTCACCATGTTGGCCATACTGGTCTCGATGTCCTGACCTCAGGTGATCCATGCACCTCGGCCTCCCAAAGTGCTGGGATTACAGGCGTAAGCCACAGTGCCTGGCAAAGAGGCTGAGGTTCTAAAGAGAGAAGTGACCTCCCCAGGATCTCCAAGCCCATGCTGCAGACGTGAGATTTGAACCCAGGATCCTGACCCCAAAGCAGAGACTGTATGTTTGCACCACGAAGGGCACAGGCTTCAGAACCTGAGTCTCTAGCTTTGAATCCTGGACCTGCTGCTTACTGGCTGTGTGACCTTGGATAAATTGCTCAACCTCTCTGTGCCATCAGTATTTACCTTATAGGGCAACATGGAGGAACAAACGAATAACTTCTATAAGAACTATTATTATCTTGGTATTAGGCTAGTAGGTATTACTGACTTTTTATTTGTTCTGAGACAGGGTCTCGCTCTGTTGCCCAGGCTGGAGTACAGCGATGTGATCTTAGCTCACTGCAACCTTGACCTACTGGGCTCAGGTGATCCTCCTATCTCAGCCTCATGAGTAGCTGGGGCTACAAGCATGTACCACCACACTCAGCTAATTATTTTGTATGTTTTGTAAAGATGGGGGTGTCGCCATGTTGCCCAGCCTGGTCTTGAAATTCTGAGCCCAAGTGATCCACCTGCCTCGGCCTTCCAGAGTGCTGGGATTACAGGTGAGAGCCACCGTGCCTGGCATTAGTGACCACTATGAGTCACTCTCCCTGCAGCTCCAAGGAGAGAACTGCTCTGTCATTTCCCAAAAGAGAAGACAGAGGTCCCCAGAGGACCACGGCAGGTCCCCACCTCTCCACCTCGTCTCGGGCCACAATGTCCCCTTTCTTCAGAGCCTTGATGGCGAACAGCTCCCCACTGGGCCGGAATTCGGAGAGCAGCACCTGGAACCACAGTGGGCAGGGGTGGTTTTAGCGGCCAGCCTGGGACCTGGGGGGGGGGTCTCCCAATTCCCTGCCCTCCACCTCACCTTCCCAAAGTGACCCCGGCCCAGCACCGCCAGGAACTTGAAATCCTCAAGGGTCAGGGGTGACTTCCTCAGAGGGCTGTGGAGAGAGGCCACTGGTGAGGACAAGGACAGCAGGCAGGGGTGGGTGGTGGGCAGGGGGCCGGGGAGTGGTGTCACCTGCACAGGGCGGGGCCTGGGGTCTCCTGGGTCTCCGAAGGCAGCTTGGGAGTGATGGAGGAGGATTCCTGGATCGGGGAGCTCTGTGGCGGAGAAGAGGCCAGAGTAAGGGGAGTCAGAGATGCCCTCATAACCACCACAGCCTCTGAGGCCCTGCAAGATCTGCCCCCGACCTCTCTGTCCTCACCTCTCCTCCCACGCGGCCCCTCACTCACTCTCCTCCAGCCACACGCCTGCACCGCCACGCCTGGCTAATTTTTGTACTTTTAGTAGAGATGGGGTTTCACCATGTTGGCCAGGCTGGTCTGGAACTCTTGACCTCAGGTGATCCACCCGCCTCGGCCTCCCAAAGTGCTGGGATTACAGACGTGAGCCACCACGCCCAGCCCGAATTTTCTTTCTTTTTTGTTTTTTTTAGAGACAGAGTCTTGCTCTGTCGCCCAGGATGGAGTGCAGTGGCACAGTCATAGCTCAGTGCAGCCTTCAACTCTACCTCCACCTCCTGAGTAGCTGGGACTAAAGGCTTGCACCACCATACCCAGCTAATTTTTTTTTTTGAGACTGAGTTTCATTCTTGTTACCCAGACTGGATGGAGTACAATGGCACGATCTCCGTTCACTGCAACCTCCGCCTCCCGGGTTCAAGTGATTCTCCTACCTCAGTCTCCCAAAGAGCTGAAATTATAGGCATGTACCACCAAGCCAGGCTAATTTTTTATATTTTTAGTAGAGATGGGGTTTCTCCATGTTGGTCAGGGTGGTCTCGAACTCCCAACCTCCGGTGATCTGCCCGCCTCAGCCTCCCAAAGTGCTGGGATTACAGACGTCAGCCACCACGCCTGGCCTAATTTTTGTAGAGATGGGGTCTTGTTCTGTTGCCCAGGCTAGTCTCAAACTTCTGGCTTCAAGCGATCCTCTTTGTTCAGCTTCCCAAGTAGCTGGGACTACAAGCGCAAGCCATCATGCCTGGCTCGACAATGTCCATTTTTTATTTTTTGAGACTGAGTCTCACTCTGTCACCCAGGTTGGGGTACGGTGGCATGATCTCGGCTCACTGCAACCTCTGCCTCCTGGGTTCAAGCAACTCTCCTGCCTTAGCCTCCCAAGTAGCTGGGACTACAGGCGCCTGCCACCATGCCCAGCTAATTTTTGGATTTTTAGTAGAGACGGGGTTTCACTTTGTTGGCCAGGCTGGTCTCGAACCCCTGACCTCGTGATCCGCCCACCCTGGACTCCCAAAGTGCTGGGATTACAGGCGTGAGCCACCGTGCCGGGCTGACAATGTGCATGTTTAGCTCAGCCAGCTATAGCCTGCACTATATGCACTGCCTGCCTGAGGAGAGAAATCGATTCTCACGCCTCCACCGAGTGCCCATTTCCCCACAACCTCCCCAGCATTATGTCATCAACCTTTTGGATTTTCTGCCACACTCATCTACTTTAATGAGGTATGTCATTTAATAGAATGCCATGAAGCATTTATTATTATTACTTCTACTTTCTTTTCTCTTTTTTTTTTTGTTTTTTTGAGACGGAGTCTCGCTCTGTCACCCAGGCTGGAGTGCAGTGGCACGATCTCGGCTCACTGCAAGCTCCGCCTCCCGGGTTCACACCATTCTCCTGCCTCAGTCTCCTGAGTAGCTGGGACTATAAGGCGTCTGCCACCACATCCAGCTAATTTTTGGTATTTTTAGTAGAGACGGGGTTTCACCATGTTAGCCAGGATGGTCTCGATCTCCTGACCTCGTGATCCTGACCTCGGCCTCCCAAAGTGCTGAGATTATAGGCATGAGCCACCACGCCCAGCCTATTACTTCTACTTTCTAAAAAATTAGATATATAAAAAATGAGCCGGGTGTGGTGGTACATGCCTGTAGTCCCAGCTACTTGGGAGGCTGAAGTGGGAGGATCACCTGAGCTCAGGAGGTTGAGGCTGCAGTGAGCCATGATTGCACAACTGCACTCTAGCCTGGGTGGCAGAACAAGACCCCGTCTCAAAACAAAACAAAACAAAACAAAAAGATAAAAGATAAAATGCATTCAGGCTGGGTGCAGTGGCTCATACCTGTAATCCCAGCACTTTAGGAGGCCGAGGCAGGGAGATCACTTGAGGTCAGGAGTTCAAGACCAGCCTGGCCGACATGGTGAAACCCTGTCTCTACTAAAAACAAAAACTAGTCGGGCATGGTGGCACATGCCTGTAGTCCCAGCTATTCGGAGGCTGAGGCATAGGCATCCTTTGAATCTGGGAGGCAGAGATTGGAGTGAGCGGAGATTGGAGTGAGCTGAGATCGTGCCACTGCATTCCAATGAAACAGAGTGAGACTGTGTCTCAAAATAAAGAAAGAAAGAAAATGCATTCAGTGAGGTGGGCAAGAGGAACAGGTTACATATGCATCCACCCAGGAAACCATCTGTCAGTCTAGGAGTTGGCAAATGTTGGCTGGTGGGCTAACCCATTTTTATAAAGTTTGTAAGAGCTAGGAAAGGCTTTCATTTTTTTTTTTTTTTTTTTTTAAAGAGATGCAGTGGCTGGACGCAGTGGCTCACACCTATAATCCCAGCACTTTGGGAGGCTGAGGCGGGCAGATCACCTGAGGTCAGGAGTTCAAGACTAGCCTGGTCAACAAGGTGAAACCCCGTCTCTATTAAAAATAGAAAAATTAGCTGGGTGTGGTGGCGCACACTTGTAGTCCTAGCTACTCGGGTGGCTGAGGCAGGAGAATTCCTTGAACCCAGGAGGTGGAGGCTGCAGTGAGCCCAGATCACACTACTGCACTCCAGCCTGGGCAACAGAGTGAGACTCCATCTCAAAAAAAAAAAAAAAGATGGAGTTTCACCATGTTGTTCAGGCTGGACTCCAACTCCTGGACTCAAGTCATCCTCCTGCCTCAGCCTCCCAAGTAGCTGGGACCACAGGTGAAGTGATTTTTGCATTTTTAAATCGTTGGGGGGAAAAAAAGTAAAAAGAGGAATAATATTTCATTGCCCGTGAAAGTTCTACGATGTTCAGACTTCCGTGTGAACTACCAATCAGGTTTTACCGGAATGGAGACACGCTTATGGTGTACGAATCGTCTGTGGCTGCTTTCCAACTACAAAGCAGACAGGGACTGTCTAGCCCACAAAGCCAAAAATATTGACTCTCTGGCCCTTTCCGGAAAATGCATGCTGACCTCTGACCTAGATCAAGACGAGGAACATCTCCATCACCCAGCAGGTCCCCTTGTGGCTCCTCTTGTGGCGATAACCTCTGCCTAGAGCACAGCACTCTCTCGATCACTCTGTCATCGACATGAGTTTTAAATATGCTCGTTCTGCAAAGCGGTACACTGAGGCACAGAGAGGTGAAGCGCAGCGCCAAGAGGTGGCAGGGCAGGGATGGGAACCCAGGCGGTCCAGCCCCCGAGCTCACAGTTTTATTTATTTATTTTTATTTTTTGAGACGCAGTCTCGCTCTGTCACCCAGGTTGGAGCGCAGTTGGCATGATCTTGGCTCACTGCAACCTCTGCCTCTCAGGTTCAACTGCCCCAGTTGCCCGGGTAGCTGGGATTACAGGTGCCCACCACCGCACCCGGCTAATTCTTATATTTTTAGTAGAGACGGGGTTTCATTGCGTTGGCCAGGCTGGTCTTGAACTCCTGGCCTCAGCCTCCCAAAGTGCTGGGATTACAGGTGTGAGCCACTGCGCCCGGCCTGTTTTATTTTTTGAGATAAGATTTCCCTATGTTGCCCAGGCTGCCGTGCAGGGGCAGGATCATGGCTCACCGTGGCTCACTGTGTTGCCCAGGCTGGTCTCAAACTCCTGGGCTCCAGCAATCCTCCCATGTCAGCCTCCCAGAAGTGCTGGGATTATAGGCATGAGCCGTTTGTTAACCAGGATGGAGATCTGGGCACAGGTTTTAACCAGCATAGAGATCTGGGCCCTGGTTCTGCCACAGACATGCTGTGGGGCTCCAGGGAAGTTCCTAGTGGTCTCTGAGCCTGGAGCAGGACCCCTGACGCTGCCCAGGCCAGGCCTAGCGGGGGAGAAGGAGGGACCCTCACCATGCTCGATGGGCGGGAAAGAGGATCCCGCGAGCTCTTCTGAGGTGAGCCGTCCGAGTCAGTGCCGAGGTTCAGCTTCTCCACCGATATGTCACTGCCGCAGACGAGAGGAGGGTGTGTCTGGGACCCAGGACCCTCGCAAGCTTCAAGGGGCAGCCGGGACCCTGGGGCCCTCCTTCCTTACCCCGTGGTCCGGGCCTCAGATCCCGGAGAAGCCCCAGGGCTGAAGGTGCCTGTGCCCGTGGCATTGGGGATGAGCCTCCGGAGCAGCCGCACCCACGTGGCGACGTCGATGTTCATCTGCCTAGCGCGCTGGAACGCCTTCCCTGGGGGGACGGGGGCAGGCATCACCCTCCATGACACTCCCAGGACCCCTGGCCTCTCCCCCAGGAGGCCTGGAGCACCCTCTCACCTTGCTGCTTGGAGAAAATTTTCTTCTGCCGTCGGAGCCGAGGAATCCTCTCAATGACAGGGTTGTGGAAGGTGACCTGGGAGAAGTGACCAAACGGTGAGGACCCCTGCCCACCTGCAGGCAGACAGCTTGGTAAGGAAGCCCCTAGGAGCACGGGTGTGCGCGCCCCAGTGGGGCTCTGGTCATGTGGCATCAGATTCAACCCGAGTACCAGGTGACAATGAAGAGGCCATCAGTGCCACCCACGGCTCCCCTCCTGAAGGGACGTCCTGGAAAAGCAAGAAGCAGACAACCGGGTCCCCTTCTAGAGATGGGGAGAGAGCATCTGATCCAACAAGACTGACAGACAGCGACCACAAACGGACGCCACACCATCCCACACCCCGATTCCCCACATGTGCTCCCAGACCCCAGACCTGCAGTAGCAGCAACACCTGGGAACTTGCTAGAAACGCAGGTTTCCAGGCCCCCCCTTTGACCTACTGAGCCAGAAACACGGAGTGGAGGAAGCGCGCTGTGTGTGTGTGTGTGTGTGTGTGTGTGTGTGTGTGTGGTATATCTATACATATATATATATATAAATAATTTAAATATATTTTTTTTTTTTTTAAGACAGGGTCTTGCTCCATTGCCCAGGCTGGAGTATAGTAGTGCAGTCTCGGCTCACTGCAGCCTCCACCTCCCAGGCTCAAGCGATTCTCCCACCTCAGCCTCCTGAGTAGCTGGGACTACAGGCATGCACCTCCATGCCTGGCAAATAGTTGTATTTTTTATAGAGACGGAGTTTCACCATGTTGGCCAGGCTGGTCCTAAACTCCTGGGCTCAAGTGATCTGCCCACTGTGACCTCCCAAAGTGCTGGGATTACAGGCGTGAGCCACTGCGCCCGGCCTTAAAGCACTCAATATTTCAACAAGTCCCCAGGAAACGCTGGTGCCCACCCATCTACGGAAGTCACCCATCAAGTTTAATTCTCCCAACTCCAACACAATTTCTAGAAGATGCCGAAGTCACAGAACTGCAGTGTCTGGTACGGTTTCACATGTGGCGATTTAAATTTAAATTAGTGAAAATGTCAGTGAAATTAAAACTTTGAGCCGGGCGTGGTGGCTCACGCCTGTAATCCCAGCACTTTGGGAGGCTGAGGTGGGTGGATCACGAGGTTAGGAGATCGAGACCATCCTGGCTAACACGGTGAAACCCCATCTTTACTAAAAATACAAAAAATTAGCCGGGCGTGGTGGCGGGCGCCTGTAGTCCCAGCTACATGGGAGGCTGAGGCAGGAGAATGGTGTGAACCCGGGAGGCAGAGCTTGCAGTGAGCTGAGATCGTGCCACTCACTCCAGCCTGGGCGACAGAGCGAGACTCTGTCTCAAAAAAAAACCAAACCAAACCAAAACAAAACAAAAACTTTGGTTCCCTGGTCGCTCGGGTTGCATTTCAGATAGAGAACATTTCCATCTACAACAGAACTCAGCCACTGTGGGTACATCAACAACAGAGCTGCAGAAAGTTCCCTTTTTTTTTTTTTTTTTTTTTGAGATTCTGTTGCCCAGGCTGGAATGCAGTGGCGCAATCTGGGCTCACCACAACCTCCACCTCCCAGACACTAGAGATTCTCCTGCCTCAGTCTCCCGAGTAGCTGGGGTTATAGGCACCCACCACCATGCCCAGCTTTCTTTTTTTTTTTTTTTGAGACAGAGCCTCACTCTGTTGCTCAGGTTGGAGTGCAGTGGTGCGATCTTGGCTCACTGCAACCTCCGCCTCCCCGATTCAAGCGATTCTCCTGCCTCAGCCTCCCAAGTAACTGGCATTACAGGCATGTGCCACCACGCCCAGCTAATTTTTGTATTTTTAGTAGAGACTGTGTTTCTCCATGTTGGCCAGGTTGGTCTTGAACTCCTAACCTCAGGTGATCTGCCTGCCTGACCCTCCCAAAGTGCTGGGATGACAGCCGTGAGCCACCACACCCAGCCTAATTTTTATATTTTTGGTAAAGACGAGGTTTCACCATGTTGGCCAGGCTGGTCTCAAACTCCTGACCTCAAATGATCCATCAGCCTCAGCCTCCCAAAGTGCTGGGATTACAGGCGTGAGCCACAGCGCCCAGCCAGAGCTGCAGAAAGTTCTATGGAATGGTGCTTCTGTAGAGGCATAAGAACAAAATAGAATGCCACAGAGAGACCTTGAAGGCGAGGAGAAACGCTTTAGAATGTGTCCCCCAGGTCACCCACCATCACTTTCCATTTGGTTTGGGCTGTGTTCTGAATGGGAGAACAATTTCAAAGCTCTGCCATCTGAGTCAACCTTTCTCCACGCCCCTTTCTTTCTTTCTTTTGAGACAGAGTTTCGCTCTCGTTGCCCAGGCTGGAGTGCAATGGTGTGATCTCGGCTCACTGCAACCTTCGCCTTCAGGTTCAAGCGATTCTCCTGCCTCAGCCTCCTGAGTAGCTGGGATTACAGGCGCCTGCCACCACACCCGGCTAATTTTGTATTTTTAGTAAAGACAGGGTTTCACCATGTTGACTAGGCTGGTCTCAAACTCCTGACCTGGTGATCTGCCTGCCTCGGCCTCCCAAAGTGCTGGGATTACAGGCGTGAGCCACCGTGCCCGGACCAGCCCCTTTCTTTCAGTGGTGCTTGATGGTCAGACCAGGGGAGAACCTCTGCTTGGGGATATGGATATAGAGAGATGGATAAATAGACACAGAAAGAGACAGATATAGATGCAGGTAGATAGAGAGGGGCATGGATGGAAGGGTAGTTACAGATAGAGTAAGAGAGAGAGGCCGATAGAAGCAGGGATACATACAGATAGAAAGAAGGATGGATGGATGGATGGATAGATAGATACAGCTATCGAGAGAAAAAGAGAGAGAGGAACAGATAGATATAGACGGGGATAGATAGAGACAGAGAGAGGAAAGGGTAGATATAAACAGAGATAGAGGAATATACAGAGATGGATGGATAGAGGGATAAGCATAGATAAGATAAATGGATGGATGGATAAGATGATAGATAATATAGATGGATAGATAGATAATATGGATAGATAATATAGACAGATGGGTAAATGGAAAGATAGATTAGTTGATAGATAATATAGATAGATGGATGGATAGATCTAGCTACAGAGAGAAAAATTAGAGGCACAGATAGATACAGAGAGGGATAAATAAAGATAAAGGAATGAGTAGATATATATAGAGAGAAATATACAGAGATGGATGGATGGATGATGCATATATAAGATTGATGGATAAGATGACTGACAGATAATAGAGACGTATGCATGGAAAAATAGATTGGTTGATAGATAATATATAGAGAGATAGATAAAGGGATAGATGGATTAGATAAATAGGTAATATAGATACCTAATATAGATGGATACATAGATAAGACAGATAGATAATATAGGTTTATCTATCAATGGATAAAGGATGCATTGATAAGATGGCTGGGCCGGGCGCGGTGGCTCATGCCTGTAATCCCAGCACTTTGGGAGGCTGAGGCGGGCAGATCACGAGGTCAGGAGATCAAGACCATCCTGGCTAACATGGTGAAATGCTGTCTCCACTAAAAATACAAAAAATTAGCTGGGCATGGTAGCGGGCGCCTGTAGTCCCAGCTACCTGGGAGGCTGAGGCAGGAGAATGGCGTGAACCCGGGAGGCAGAGTTTGCAGTCAGCCGAGATCGCACCACTGCACTCCAGCCTGGGCGACAGAGCGAGACTCCGTCTCAAAAAAAAAAAAAAAAGATGGATGGATGAATGCATAGACAGACAGACAGAGTGGATGGATGGACAGGTACGTGGGTAAAAAATAGATAATATGTGTTTATACATATATAAGTAATCTATTATGTATATATGTAAAATGGGGTACACATATAGGTCAGCGGAAGATTAAGAGTTTTTTAGGATAATTTGGCTAAATGAGGGGTCAAGTCACTTTCCTTCTCTGTGCCCTAGTTTCCTCCTCTGTCAAATTTGAGTGATAACAGTCCCTCTTTTGCGAGTTGGTTGTAAGAATTAAAAAGTTCACGTCACCAAAGCACTCGCTACACAGCCTGGCTTATGCTAGGGGAACTCAGCTAGAAATGTCATTCGGACCAGGGGTTCCCAGCCAGGGAGCACTAAACAATGTCTGGAGACCTCTGGGCTGCCAAAACTCAGGGGGAGCGGGTGCTACTGACATCCTGTAAGCAGTGGGCAGAGGTGCTGCTAAACATCCTCTAGTGCACAGGACAGCCCCACCACAGAGGATGATGTGGCCTCAGATGTCAACAGTGCCAAGGGGAGGCCACCTCAATTCAGACCTTCACCCTCCCACGGCTGTGGAAGGAATCGCTTTCTCTTGACTGCGGCTCTGGTAGCAATCACCACGATATGTTGCCAGGTTTTGTATCACTTTTCCGGCTGGATGAAATTTTATAATTTATTTCCTTTTTTCTTTAAACATTCCTAAATTTGGAAATCAGCTTCTTCTTTCCTTTTTTTTTTTTTTAAAGTATCTTGCCTCAGAACAAAACCAATCCCAGCTAAGGTTATATCACTGATGTGGCTAATTAGAAGTTCTTTTCTTCTTCTTTTTTTTTTTTTTTGAGACAAAGTCTCACTTTTGTTGCCCAGGCTGGGGTGCGATCTCAGCTCACTGCAACCTCCGTCTCCTGGGTTCAAGCAATTCTCCTGCCTCAGCCTCCCGAGTAGCTGGGATTACAGGTGCCCACTACCATGCCCAGCTAATTTTTGTATTTGTAATAGAGATGGGGTTTCACCATGTTGACCAGGCTCGTCTGGAACTCCTGGCCTCAAGTGATCCACCTGCCTCGGCCTCCCAAAGTGCTGGGATTACAGGTGTGAGCCACCGCGCCCAGTCAAGGTGTGCTTTTCTATCAAGGTTCAGAGACAGATCTAAAATGTATCTTCCCCTTCTAGAATACACTGATCTAAAACATACCTGCCACTTCTAAAGGAGCCTGATCTAAAACTATCTTTCCGTACTAAGAGAAACCAGATCTAAAACATATCTTATGCTTCTAAAAGAGCCTGATCTAAAATGTACCTTCCCCTTCTAGAACAGACAGATCTTTTATTTTATTTTTGAGATGGAGTCTCGCTCTGTTGCCCAGGCTGGAGTGCAGTGGTGGGATTTTAGCTCACTGCAGCCTCCGTCTCCCGGGTTCAAGCGATTCTCCTGTCTCAGCCTCCCGAGTAGCCGGGACTAAAGGCACGTGCCACCACACCCAGCTAATTTTGTATTTTTAGTTGAGATGCGGTTTCACCATGTTGGCCAAGCTGGTCTCCCTGACCTCAGGTGATCCACCTGCCTCGGCCTTCCAAAGCGCTGGGATTACAGGCATAAGCCACCACGCCCAGCCTAGAACAGGCAGATCTAAAGCCTATCTTCCCTTTCTAGAAGAGCCTGATCGAAAACATACATTTCCCTCTACAAGATATCTATTTAAAATGTATCTTCCCCTTCTAGAAGAGGTAGATCTAAAACATATCTCCCCCTTTTAGAAAAACCTGACCTAAAACATGCCTTCCCCTTCCAGAAAAGGCAAATCTAAAACGTATCTTCCCTTTCTAGAAGAGCATGATCTAAAGCCTATCTTCCCTTTCTAGAAAAGCCTGATCTAAAACATCTTTCCCTTCTAGAAAAAAGCAGCTCTAAAACGTCTCTTCCCCTTCTAGAAGAGCCTGACCTAAAACATATCTTCTCCTTCTAGAAAAGGCAGAGTTAAAACATATCCTCTGTTTCTAGAAGGGCTGGATCTAAAATGTGTTTTCCTCTTCTAGAAGAGCCTGACCTAAATCGTATCTTCCCCTTCTGGAAGAGCCAGACCTAAAACATATTTTCCCCTTCTAGGAAACTGGGGATGGGGGAGTGAGGGAGAAGAAGCACTTTCTCAGGATCGGGGCGGGCTGTACCTCGGCCACCAGGCAGCCCTGGGGTTCCATGTCCAGCTGCACCTCATGCCTCTCGTTGTCCAAGAAATCCTCCAACTTCAGGAATTTGAGGGCACACAGGCCCCGCTGGTCCCGCCAGAACACAGCCAACTCCAGTTCCCGTGCCTGGAGGGAGAGGAAGAGGGCCGTCACTCAGGGTGCCAGAGGCATGGAACCCCTCCTCCTCCGGGCCCTGTTGTCCTCCAGCGCAGCTCACCCTCTCCAGCTCCAGAGTGAAGCTCTGGTCCCAGGCATTGGGGCCACATGGCTTCCAAGACGTCTGCCCCACCACTGTGTTATCCAGCTTAAGCACAGTGCTGACTTCACCTGAAATGGGGGAGAGGGCCCAGTCAGAAAATGCTGGCAGCGGCCAGGCAAGGTGGCTCATGCCTGCAATCCCGGTACTTTAGGAAGTCGAGGCAGGCAGATCAATTGAGGCCAGGAGTTCAAGACCAGCCTGGCCATGATGGCAAAACCCCATCTCTACTGAAAATACAAAAAATTAGCTGGGTGTGGTGGCGCATGCCCGTAATGCCAGCTACTCGGGAGGCTGACGCAGGATAATCACTTGAACCCAGGAGGCAGAGGTTGTAGTGAGCCGAGATCATGCTACTGCACTCCAGCCTGGGTGACACAGCGAGACGAAAGAGAGAGAGAGAAAGAGAGAAAGAAAACAGAAAAGAAAAATGGCCATGCACAGTGGCTCGTGCCTGTAATCTCAACACTTTGGGAGGCTGAGGCAGGTGGATCACCTGAGATCGGAAGTTTGAGACCTGCCTGACCAACATGGTGAAACCCCGTGTCTGCTAAAAATACAAAATTACCCAGGTGTGGTGGCGCATGCCTGTAATCCCAGTTACTCGGGAGGCTGAGGCAGGAGAATCACTTGAACCCAGGAGGCCGAGGTTGCAGTGAGCTGAGATCACGCCACTGCACTCCAACCTGGGCAACAAGAGCGAAGCTCTATCTCAAAAAAAAAAAGAAAAAAGAAAGAAAGAAAATGCTGGCAGAAAGGGGCAGGTCTATTATCTTTTTCTTTCTTTTTTTTTGGTAGAGATGAGTCTTGTTATGTTGACTATGCTGGTCTCAAACTCCTAGCCTCAGGTGATATTCTCCTGCCTCAGCCTCCCAAGTATCTGGGATTACAGGCATAAGCCACCAGGCCTGGCTGTCTGCTATCTTTTTAAAATAAATCCTCCTCTCCATTACTTTTCTCCAACTGTGGAGTTTTGCATTTGACATTGAAGGCTTTTTTTTTTTTTTTTTTGAGATGGAGTCTCGCTCTGTAGCCCAGGCTGGAGTGCAGTGGCGCGATCTCAGCTCACTGTAAGCTCCGCCTCCCGGGATCACGCCATTCTCCTGCCTCAGCCTCCTGAGTAGCTGGGACTACAGGTGCCCGCCACCGCGCTCGGCTAATTTTTTGTATTTTTAGTAGAGACAGGGTTTCACCGTGGTCTCGATCTCCTGACCTTGTGATCCGCTCACCTTGGCCTCCCAAAGTGCTGGGATTACAGGCGTGAGCCACTGCGCCTGGCTGACGTTGAAGCCTTTAATCCAGTTGATTTTTTTTTACCATGGTGTGAGGTGAGGCAGGGATCCAAATTCAGTTTTATTCTACATGGAAGTCCCAGCAACATACTCCTAAGAATTTATTTATTCATTTATTTTTTGAGCCAGAGCCTCTCTCTGTCATCCAGGCAGGAGTGCAGTGGCACAATCTCAGCTCACTGCAACTTCCACCTCCTGGGTTCAAGCAATTCTCGTGCCTCAGCCTCCAAAGTAGCTCAGACTACGGGCACACACTACCATGCCCAGCTAATTTTTGTGTTTTTAGTAGAGATGGGTTTTTGCCATGTTGGCTAGGCTGGTCTTGAACTCCCGACCTCAAGTGATCACTGGCCTTGGCCTCCCACAGTGCTGGGATTAAAGGCGTGAGCCACCATGCCCAGGCCCTCCTAAGAATTTACCCTAGCAAAATGCATGCATGTATACATCAGTAGATACATTTATATAAAGTATATATATAAAACGGTCCAAAATAGAGGCATCCCACAGTCCATTAACAGGAGAATTAATATTTTAAAACTGCGATACACTCTTAGTAGCTAAAGTACAAAATTGCTGATATTTAACTATTTTTTTTTTGGTTTCAGAAGAAGGCAATTCGATATGGCTCAGTCTAACATAATGGATTATTAAGCAGGAATAAATATGAATTAACTATAGCTTCTCAAAACAAAATGGATGAGTCTCCCAAAACAATGCTTTTTTTGTTTGGTTGGTTTTGTTTTTGTGCATTTTTTTGTAGGATGGGGTTTCATCATGTTGCCCAGGCTGGGCTCAAATTCCTTGGCTCAAGCAATCCCTCCACCTCGGCCTCCCAAAGTGCTGGGATTACAGGCTTGAGTCACTATGCCTAGCCCCGAAACAATGTTGAATGAAAAAAGCCATGTGATAGAATACAGTCTATATGAGCCTATCAATGTAAACTTCTAATACCAGGCAAAATTAAACTAAAGTTTTTGGAGATGCAAACATGGAATTCTACAACTGCGAATTATAGCAAGGAAATGATAAAAGTCGGGACAGTAGTCACCTCTACGGCAGAGGAAGGAGCTGGAATTGGGGAGGAGACAGGAGGGGGCTTCTGGAGAGCTGGAAATATTCTATTTCTTTTCCTTTTTTTTTTTTTTTTTTTAAGATGGGGTCTCGCTCAGTTGCCCAGGCTGGAACGCAGTGGTGCAATCACGGCTCACTGTAGCCTTGACCTCCTGTATTCAAGTGATCCTCCCACTTCAGCCTCCCGAGTAGCTGGGACTGCAGGCATAAGCCACCATGCCCACATCTGGTTAATTTTTGGTTGGTCTGTCTTTGCTTTTTTTTCCCTTTAGTTTTCTTTTTTTCTGTGACACAGACGCAGGAAGGCCTGATGACATGTGCCCCATTTTTTTTATTATTTGTAAAGACAAGGTCTTGCTGTGTTGCCCACGCTGGTCTTGAACTCGTGGGTTCAAGTGATCCTCCTGCAAATCCCAAATTGCTGGGATTCCAGGCACGAGCTGTGTCCCCTGGCTGCCATATTCTATTTGCTAATGCAGGTGGTGGTAACATGGGTGTCTGCTCTCCCGTGACTCCTCTCCACACTCCCTTTTTTTTTTTTTTTTTTTTTTGTACATATATATTAATTTTCTTTCTTTGTCCTTTCTTTAGCTGCGAGATTAGGAATCAAATTTTCTTTTAAAAAAATTATGGCCGGCCGATATCGGTGGCTCATGCCTGTAATCCCAGCACTTTAGGAGGCCGAGGCGGGTGGATCACGAGGTCAGGAGATCGAGACCATCCTGGCTAACACGGTGAAACCCCGTCTCTACTAAAAATACAAAAAAAAAAAATTAGCCGGGCGCGGTGGCGGGCACCTGTAGTCCCAGCTACTCGGGAGGCTGAGGCAGGAGAATGGCGAGAACCCAGGAGGCGGAGCTTGCAGTGAGCCGAGATCGCGCCACTGCACTCCAGCCTGGGCGACTGAGCAAGACTCCGTCTCAAAAAAAAAAAAAATTATGGCCAACATGGCGAAACCCCGTCTCCACTAAAAATACAAAGATTAGAAAATTAGGGCCGGGCGCGGTGGCTCACGCCTGTAATCCCAGCACTTTGGGAGGCCGAGATGGGCGGATCACGAGGTCAGGAGATCGAGACCATCCTGACTAACACGGTGAAACCCCGTCTCTACTAAAAATACAAAAATTAGCCGGGCGCGGTGGCGGGTGTCTGTAGTCCCAGCTACTCGGGAGGCTGAGGCAGGAGAATGGCGTGAACCCGGGAGGCGGAGCTTGCAGTGAGTGGAGATTGCGCCACCGCACTCCAGCCTGGGCGACAGAGCGAGACTCTGTCTCAAAAAAAAAAAAAAAAAAAAAAAAAAGAAAATTAGCCGGGCGTGGTGGCACACGCCTGTAATCCCAGCTACTTGGGTGGCTGAGACAAGAGAATCGCTCAAACTGAGGAGGCAGAGGTTGCAGGGAGCTGAGACCGTGCCACTGCACTCCAGTCTGGGCAGCAGAGCGAGACTCCGCCTCAAGAAAAAACAAAATTATGGTAAAATACATATAACATAAAATTTACCATCGTAATCATTTTTAAGTGTCCAGTTCGGTGGCATAAAGTACATTCACGTTGCTGTGCAACCATTACCACCATCCATCTCCGGAACTTTCAGCTTACAAAACCCAAACTCTGTCCAAATGAAATAATAAACTCCCCATTCCCCCTCCCTCTACTCCCCGGCATCCATCATTCTACTTTCTGTCTCTGTGAATCTGACTACTCTAGGAACCTCGTATAACTGGAATCATACAATATTTGTCTTTTGGGGACTGGCTTATTTCACTTAGACTAATATCCTCAAGGTTCATCTATGTTGCACGATGAGACAGGATTTCTTTCCTTTTTTTTTTTTTTTTTTTTTTTTTTTTTGAGACAGAGTCTCACTCTGTCACCCAGGTTGGAGTGCAGTGGCATGATCTTGGCTCACTGCAACCTCCGCCTCCTGGGCTCAAGCGATTTTCCTCCCTAGTAGCTGGGATTACAGGCGTGCGCCACCACCCCTGGCTAATTTTTGTATTTTTAATAGAGACGGGGTTTCACCATGTTGCCCAGGCTGGTCTCGCACTCCTGAGCTCAAGTGATCCACCTGCCTCGCCTCCCAAAGTGCTGGAATTACAGGCAGGAGCCACTGCGCCTGGCAGGATTTCTTTCCTTTTTATTTTATTTTATTTTATTTTATTTTATTTTATTTTATTTTATTTTTTTTGAGACGGAGTCTCGCTCTGAGGCCCAGGCTGGAGTGCAGTGGCCAGATCTCAGCTCACTGCAAGCTCCACCTCCCGGGTTCACGCCATTCTCCTGCCTCAGCCCCCCAGTAGCTGGGACTACAGGCGCCCGCCACCTCGCCCGGCTAGTTTTTTGTATTTTTTAGTAGAGATGGGGTTTCACCGTGTCAGCCAGGATGGTCGATCTCCTGACCTCGTGATCCACCCATCTCGGCCTCCCAAAGTGCTGGGATTACAGGCTTGAGCCACCGCGCCCGGCCTCTTTCCTTTTTAAATCGGAGTAATGTTCCATTGTACGGCCGGCCCCCGTTTTGTTTATCCATTCATCTACTGGTGGACACCGGGTTGCTTCCATTTTTGGCTTTCATAGTGCTGCTGTGAACACAGGTATACAAATATCTCTGAGACCCTTTTTTAAAAAAATATTTTTCTATCACTAGTTTTAAAACCGACAAAAATTATATATTTATCATGTACAACATGTTGTTTTGAAATATGTATACATTATGGAACGTCCGAGGCCCTGTTTTTAATTCTTTTGGGGATATGCCCAGAAGTAGCTTTGGATCATATGGTTATTCTTGGTTGTTTTTTTTTTTTTTTTTTCTTCTTTTTTTTTTGAGACAGAGTCTCATTCTGTCACCCAGGCTGGAGTGCAGTGGCACGATCTCTGCTCACTCCAACCTCTGCCTCCTGGATTCAAGCAACTCTCCTGCCTCAGCCTCCAGAGTAGCTGGGACTACAGGCGCACACCACCACCACGCCCGGTTAACTTTTTTTTTTAGTAGAAATGAGGTTTCACCATGATGGCCAGGTTGGTCTTGAACTCCTGACCTCAGGTGATCCACCCACCTTGACCTCCCACAGTGCTGGGATTACAGGCGTGAGCCATTGTGCCTGGCCTGCTTACTCTGTTTTTAATCATTTCAGGAACTGCCAATATTTATCTCTCTCTCTCTCTCTCTCTCTCTTTCAGACAGTCTCACTCTGTCGCCCAGGCTGAAGTGCAGTGGCTCGATCTCGGCTCACTGCAACTTCTGCCTCCTGGGTTCAAACGATTCTCCTGCCTCAGCCTTCTGAGTAGCTGGGATTACAGACACAAACCACCATGCCCAGCTAATTTTTGTATTTTTAGTAGAGAAGGGGTTTTGCCAGGATGGCCAGGCTGGTCTCGAACTCCTGACCTCATGTAATCTGCCCCCGCTCAGCCTCCCAAAGTGCTGGGATGACAGGTGTGAGCCACCACGCCTGGCCATGCCAATATATTTTCCATAGGGCTGCACCATTTTACATTCCCACCAGCAGTGCACAAAGGTTCTGATTTCTCTCCACATCCTAACACAGTTGTTATTTTCTGTTTGTTTTGTTGGGTTTGTAAAATAGTCATCCTAATGAGTATGATATATTGGTTTCTTGTTTGGTTTTTCCTTTTTAAAATTTTATTTATTTATTTATTTATTATTATTTTTTGAGATGGAGTCTTGCTCTGTCGCACAGGCTGGAGTATGGTGGTGTGATCTTGGCTCACTGCAACCTCCACCTCCTGGGTTCAAGCAATTCTCTGCCTCAGCCTCCAGAGTAGCCGGGATTACAGGCACCCACCACCACGCCTGGTTAATTTTTTTGTATTTTTAGTAGAGACGGGGTTTCACCACACTGGCCAGGCTGGCCTTGAACTCCTGACCTCATGATCCACCCGCCTCGGCCTCCCCGAGTGCTGGGATTATAGGCGTGAGCCACCACACCTGGCCTTTTTTTTTTTTTTAATCTAAATAACCTTGATTTTTTTTTTTTAATTTAGAGACAGGGTCTCTCTGTCATCTAGGCTGGAGTGAAATGGCTCAATGACAGCTCACTGCAGCCTGGAGCTCCTGGGCTCAAGTGATCCTCCCACCTCTAGAATAGCTAGGACTACAGGTGTGGGCCACCACATCTGGCTAATTTTTACATTTTATTTTTTGTTGAGACAGGGTCTTGCTATGTTGCCCAGGCTGGTCTCAAACTCCTGGCCTCAAGTGATGATCCTCCTGTCTCAGCCTCCCAAAGTGTTGGGATTACAGGCGTGAGCTGCTGCACCTGGCCTGTTTTGTTTGTTTTTGTTGTTTTTGTTTTCTTTTGAGACAGAGTCTGACTGTGTCACCCAGGCTGGAGGACAATGGCACGATCATGGCTCACTGCAACATCCACATCCCGGGTTCAAGTAATTCTCCTGCCTCAGACTCACAAGTAGCTGGGATTACAGGTGTGCACCACCATGCCCAGCTAAGTTGTTTTTTTTTTTTTTTTTTTTTTTGAGACGGAGTCTCACTCTGTCGCCCAGGCTGGAGTGCAGTGACCGGATCTCAGCTCACTGCAAGCTCCGCCTCCCGGGTTTATGCCATTCTCCTGCCTCAGCCTCCCGAGTAGCTAGGACTACAGGCGCCCGCCACCTCACGCGGCTAGTTTTTTGTATTTTTTTAGTAGAGACGGGGTTTCACCGTGTTAGCCAGGATGGTCTCAATCTCCTGACCTTGTGATCCGCCCGTCTCGGCCTCCCAAAGTGCTGGGATTACAGGCTTGAGCCACCGCGCCCGGCCAAGTTGTATTTTTAAGTAGAGACTGCATTGCACTATGTTGGCCAGGCTGGTCTCAAATTCCTGACCACAAGTGATCCGCCTGCCTTGGCTTCCCAAAGTGCTGGGATTACGTGCGTGAGCCACCACACCCGACCCTTGGCCTATTTTTTAAAGGTTTACAAATATGGGGCATTCCGGGTCCCCCATGCCACCCCATTTCTCAGGGCCCACGATGCCCACTCACTGGTGTTCTCAGCTTCTGCTTTGAGGCTGCTCCGGCCACTGAGGCTTCCGCTTCGGCTGTAAAGGCCCCGGGCTGGGCGGCTCAGGAATGGGGGGCGGCTGTCTGGGGTCCCAGGTCCACCCCCTGAGGGCGTAGGGTTCCAGGGGATGGTCTCTGGGAGGTCTCTGCAGCCCACCACGCGTACCTCCAGGGTCCCTGCAGGAGGGGAAAGCTCAGCAGGGGGCCACTTCTGGGGCAGGCTGAGTGGAGGGGACCACAGTGGGGAGGGGAGACATCGAGACGCAGCCATGGTACAAGTGGGAGCCAGTGAGGGACAACCAGGGTGGAGCACGGGGCCTGAGGTCCGTGCTGGAATAGGAGAACATGAGACAAGCAGTCCTTCCGGGAGGAGCTCCGATGCGGAAGTTTAGGGACAGAAGGGAGGTTCAGGGTGCAGGCCAGGGCTCAGGCAAGCAGGAACAGGGTAGGACTAGGGGTTCTAGGGGAGGACTCGGTGGACGACCTGAGGCCTGAGATGGGCTAGGGGTCTACGGTGGGACTGGTCTGGAGGGGTAGATAGCTGAGGGGTCTGTGGAAGGTGGGGCTGGCTGGTCTGCAGCAGGGGGATAGGAGGCTCAGGGCTGAGCGTTGTGAGGCTGAGGTGGGGCTGGGGGACAGCGGCTGGGGGAAAAATACTGGGCCAGGTGAAGAGAGATGGAGAAACTGAGAGGTGGGGAGGGGGCAAGAGCTCAGAATCAGAGGGCAAAGTAGGGTGAGAAGTCCAGGGTGCAACGGGCTGTCTACTGGAGAGGGGAGGAGACAGTGGGATGGGAGTCCAGGGTTGGGGAGAGTGGAGATCCAAGTCGGGGGTCCCAGGAATGGGGAAATCAGAGCAGTCGGAGGCCCAGGGCTGCGGGAGTGGGGCAGGTCTCAGGCCCACCTGTGAGCGGCGCGGGCTTGCACAGGGTGCTGTAGTGCGTGGCGGGAAAGGGCCCGGCCAGGCGGGCGCTAAAGGCGGCGGACGAGGCTGCAGCGAGCTCTTCTCGCAGCAGCCGCCCCTTGGGGTGGTCGGCGGGCAGCTCCCCCAGCCTCCGCTCCAGAGCCTCCCGCAGCAGCCCCAGCTTCTGGTTGGATTCTGTCAATTTCTCCTGGGCCTGCGGTGGGAAGTGTCGGGCTGGGGACGGGACCAGGCTTGCCCCTCCCCAAGTGCAGCCCTATGGCCCATCCTCAGACTGACAGTCTCGCACTGAATTCCTCCCTAGAGGGCTAAACCTCAAACCAATTTGGTCCCACCTCTGGGAAAACTAGGCCCCACCCCCTGCAGAGACCCCGCCCCTCACAGTGGCACTGTTCCTGGCTGATGCCCCGCTTCTCACAGCAGTCTACCCCGGCTGAGGCCCCACCCCATATAAAGGTCACATACCCTTTAAGGCTCCACCCCTCAAACCAGGGCCGTTCCTGGAGAAATCCCCGCCGCTGGCTGAAGCACCGCCCCCTGCTAAAGCCCCGGCTCTAATGAAAGCTCCGCCCCTCACCTCGCTGACTGCCTTGCGGTCCGGGGCCTTGGCAGCGCTGAGCAGGCGCAGTACGTTCTTGGCACCCTCGGCCACCGCGTGCTCCACTCGGAAGTGGTGCCGCAGCTCTTCGATGCGCAGCTCCACGGCCCCCAGGTCAGGACTTCCTGTGAGTGTGGAGTACAGGGCAGTAAGGCTAGCGTGCAGCGCCCCACCAACCTAGTCCCAGACACACTGCCATTCGCAGCAACAGGCACGGGCCGCAGACAAACCGTCATGAAGATGCATCACTCTTCCCCCAAGGGGCAGGCACAGTGACACTGTCGCACTGTCACCTGCAGGCAGCCACACTTCCACCCAGACTCTTCTATCCAAACACCATCACTCACAGGGCCAGTCTTAGGGAAAAAGTTACCCTGTTACGGGGGACAGTCTGAGCAATGACACACAGGCACACTGTCACCCCAGGCTTACCGACAGACACATTGTCACGGTCCCTCTTCACCTCCAGGGATTTGCACAGGGACAGACGCAGGCACACTGTGGCCCCCAGGGACAGCCACATTATCTAGATTTAGACACTGTCACCCAGGGGCTGTCACCCAAAGAGACAAGAACACATAAATCATAGGCCAAGCACGGTGGCTCAGGCCTGTAATCCCAGCACTTTGGGAGGCCGAGGCGGGTGGATCACTTGAGGTCAGGGGTTTGAGACCAGCCTGGCCAACATGGTGAAACCCTGTCTCTACTAAAAATACAAAAATTAGCTGGGTGTGGTGGCGCATGCCTGTAATCCCAGCTACTCGGGAGGCTGAGGCAGGAGAATCACTTGAACCCAGGAGGCGGAGGTTGCAGTGAGCCGAGATTGCACCATTGCTCTCCTGCCTGGGTGACAGAGTGAGACTCCATGTCATAAAAAAAAAAAAAATCATACTGTCATACCCATGTTGACACACCTCATTCCCCAATGAACAGTCACCAGGTTACACAGTCAACCAGGTACGGTGACACTCATGGGCATCTGGACAACCACAGACATACGACTACACTCACACAGATGCTGTCAGTCACAAAGACACTGTTAAGAGACTCAATGTTTGTCTCCTACCAAATTCCTATGTTGAACCCCTAATTCCCAGTGGGATGGCACTTGGAGAAGGGGCCTTTGAGAGGTAATTAGGATTAGAGGAGGTCATGGAGGGAAGGCTATCATGATGGGATTAGTGCCCTTATCAGAGGAGGAAGAGGCTGGGTGCAGTGGTCCATGCCTGTAACCCCAGCACTTTGGGAGGCTGAGGCAGGAGGATCACCTGAGGCCAGGAGTCTGATACCAGCCTGGGCACCATAGAGAGAGCTTGTCTCTACTAAAAATAAAAAATAAATTAGCCAGGCGTAGTGGCGTGTGCCTGTAGTCCCAAGCTATTCTGGAGGCTGAACCAGGAGGATCACTTGAGCCCAGAAAGTCGAGGCTGCAGTGAGCTGTGATCACACCACTGCACTCCAGGCTGGGTGACAGACCAAGACCCTGTCTCAAAAAACTAAAAATGAAAAATAAGAAGAGGAAGAGGCACTAAGGCTGTCTCTCCCTGTGAGGGTACAGTAAGAACGGAGCCGTCTATAAGCCAGGAAGGGCGCCCTCACCAGGAACTGACCACGCTGGTACCCTGATCTGGGACTGCCAGTCTCCGGAACTGTGAAAAAAATAAATGTCTGTTGTTTAAGCCACTCAGCCTATGGGACTTTGTTATGGCAGCCCGAACAGAGTTCAGACAGGCACTGTCGCACTGACACTGTCACACGGTCGCCCACAGGGACACATGGCATTACCACTTTGTCACCAGCGTAGGCACACTATCACCTGCAGGCAGAGGAACACATACTCTGTCACAAAGATGCAGTCACCCTGCCACATAGAGACACTGTCATGAGTCAGATTCTGTTACACAGACACGGCCCTGTCATCTTGGGCACAGGGACACCATTATCGGGGCAGAGAAACACAGTCACAGACACAAATGCATATATGCCAAAGAACAGGGTCAAGAAAAGGGGCACAGGCCAGGCACAGTGGCTCACGCCTATCATCTCAACACTTTGGGAGGGTAAGGCAGGAGGATCACTTGAGGCCAGGAGTTTGAAACCAGCCTGGACAACACAGCAAGATCTAGTCTCTACAAAATATATATATATTTTAATAAGCTGGGTGTGATGGCACATGCCTATGGTCCCAGCTACTCAGCAGAATTGCTTGAGCCCAGAAGGTCAAGCCTGCAGTGAGTTATGATCACACCACTGCATTCCAGCCTGGGCAACAGAGCGAGACCCTGTCTAAACAAAAAAAGTGTATCAGCCGGGTGCGGTGGCTCACGCCTGTAATCCCACCACTTTGGGAGGCCGAGGCAGGTGGATCACAAGGTCAGGAGATCAAGACCATCCTGGCTAACACAGTGAAACTCTGTCTCTACTAAAAATACAAAAAATTGGCCGGGTGTGGTGGCTCAAGCCTGTAATCCCAGCACTTTGGGAGGCTGAGGTGGGCGGATCATGAAGTCAGGAGATTGAGACCATCCTAGCTAACATGGTGAAACACCGTCTCTACTAAAAACACAAAAAAATTAGCCAGGCGTGGTGGCAGGCGCCTGTAGTCCCAGCTACTTGGGAGGCTGAGGCAGGAGAATGGCATGAACCCGGGAGGCGGAGCTTGTAGTGAGCCCAGATTGCGCCACTGCACTCCAGCCTGGGCGACAGCAAGACTCCGTCTCAAAAAAAAAAAAAAGAAAGAAAAATTAGCCGGGTGTGGTGGCTGGCGCCTACAATCCCGGCTACTTGGGAGGCTGAGACAGGAGAATGGTATGAACCCGGGAGGCAGAGGTTGCAGTGAGCTGAGATCGTGCCACTGCACTCCAGCCTAAGTGACAGAGGGAGACTCCGTCTCAAAAAAAAAAAAAAAAAAAAAAAGTGTGGCCTGGGGTGTATGTCAGTGCGATGGTGCATGTGATTGTGTGCCTGCACTGTGGATACCCGCATGGATTGTGCAGTGACTATGTGTGATGGTAGGATCACACATTCCTTCGTCTCTGGGTGTTGTCGCAGGGATGGGTGACTAGATGACTTTATTCCTAAAAGTCCCAGTGACTGATGAACCGCCTTGTGGCAGCAGGTCTAGGGGTGACAGTGAGACTGTGTGTTTTTTTGTGTGTGTGTTTTTGAGACGGAGTCTCGCTCTGCTGCCCAGGCTGGAGTGCAGTGGGGCGATCTCGGCTTACTGCAACCTCTGCCTCCCGGGTTCCAGTGATTCTCCTGCCTCAGCCTCCTGAGTAGCTGGGACTACAGGTGCATGCCACCATGTCCAGTCGATTTTTGCATTTTTAGTAGAGACAGGGTTTCATCATGTTGGCCAAGCTGATCTCAAACTCCTGACCTCAAATGATCCGCCCACCTCGGCTTCCAAAGTGCTGGGATTACAGGCGTGAGCCACTGCACCCAGCTGAGACTGTGTTTATAAGGCAACATGCCTGTGACTATCAACTTCCTTGGAACTGTGTCTGTGTCATTGGTGTCCAGGTGAGTGACACATGTGGACACAGTGTGACTGTGAGTGTGACTCTCTGTGACCAAGTGCCAGGGTCATTATTCAGAATAGTCAGGCAGTCAAAAACATAGTAAATAAATGGGTGTGGCTGGGTACCAATAAAACTTTATTGACAACAAACAAAAAAAGACAATGGATTGACCAAAAAAAAAAAAAAGACAGTGGATAGATTTGGTCTGAAGGTGGTAATTTACCAACCCCTGATGTAATCCAAACTCTGCATGGGACAAAATGGAAGCTCTGGCCCAGAGAGGGTCAGGAATGTGTTGAAGTCTCACACTGGGTCACAGGATCCACCTTCCTGCCCCTGAAAGGGACTCATTATGGAGCTGGAGGCTGAGCCCTGCAAGGCAAGATGCGGGCTAAGCTGTCTGGAAGCAAGGGACTCACCTTGGGTCTCATCCGGGGCTGCCTGGTTTTCCAGCTGGCCCGCCTGCAGCGCCCGGCGGAGTTGCATGCGGATGATGTCAATCTTGGTCTTACTGTCCTGTAACATCTGCTGGGCTGTCAGCAGCAGCTTCCGGTCCTGGAGGCAGAGACAGTCTGAGAGAGGAAGGCTGGGTGGTTGGGGTCTGGCTACACCATGCAGGTCCCAGGTGGCTGTGGCAGTGTTCACATGTGGATGTAACAACACGCATTTGCAGGCCAGGCACGGTGGCTCACGCCTGTAATCCCAGCACTTTGGGAGGCTAAGGTGGGTGGACTGCTGAGCCCAGGAGTTAAAGACCAGCCTGGGCAACATGGCAAGACCTTGTCTCCACAAAAAAAAAAATGCAAAAATTAGCTGGGCGTGGTGGTGTGCACCTGTGGTCCCAGCTACTCAGGGGGCTGAGGCAGGAAGATCACTCAAGCCCAGGAGCTAAAGGCAACATTGAGCTGAGATTGCATCACTGCCCTCCAGCCTGGGCAACAGAGTGAGACCCTGTCTCAAAATAAATAAATAAGTAAATGAATGCACTTCCATGCATTCCTGGATACAGTGGGATGATGTAGTAAATGGGGTTTGAATCCTGGCTCTGTCACTTAACATCTGTGTGACCTCCAGCAAGCCATTCAACCTCTTTCGGCTGCAATTTGTTTTACTGATTGATTGATTGGTTGAGACGGGGTCTCGCTCTGTTGCCCAGGCTGGAGTGCAGTGGCACAATCTCAGCTCACTGCAGCCTCCACCTGCTGGTTTCAGACGATTCTTTTGCCTCAGCCTCCTGAGTAGCTGGGATTACAGGCGCCCACCACCACGCCCAGCTTTTTTTTTTTTTTTTTTTTTTTTTGAGACAAAGTCTCGTTCTGTCACCCAGGCTGGAGTGTAGTGGCGTGATCTCAGCTCACTGCAACCTCTGCCTCCCAGGTTCAAGCAATTCTCCTGCCTCAGCCTCCCGAGTAGCTGGGATTACAGGCATGTGCCCCCATGCCTGGCTAATTTTTGTATTTTTTTTTTACTAGAGTTGGGGTTTCGCCACGTTGGCCATGCTGGTCTTGAACTCCTGACTGCAAGTGATCCGCCCACCTCAGCCTCCCAAAGTGCTGGGACCCACGCCTGGCCTACTCTATTCATTTTCATCGGGTCAGTATCACCCCCGAGGGGGCAGAAATTCTTAGGGGGTGAGAAACTCTTATTCTTTTTGTGTATAATGCTCAGATACACGTAAAAAGATAACAGTTGTTCCAGGTTTTAAATTTTCATAGAATGGTGTTCAAATACTTGTACATGGGTGTTCATAGCAAAACTATTCACAATCGCTAAAAACGTGGAAACAACCAAATGTCTATCAATTGATAAATGGGGCGCAGTGGCTCACGTCTGTAATCCCAGCACTTTGGGAGGCCAAGGCAGGAGCAATGCTTGAGCCCAGGAGTTCGAGTCCAGCCTGGGCAACACAGACCCCTATCTCAATAAAAATAAAAAATAAATTAAATAAATAAAATAATGTTAGGCCAGGCAAGGTGGCTCACATCTGTAATCCCAGCACTTTGGGAGGCGAAGTGGGCAGATCACCTGAGGTCAGGAGTTCGAGACTCGCCTGGCCAATATAGTAAAACCCCATCTCTACTAAAAATACAAAAATTAGTGGGGTGTGGTGGCACGTGCCTGTAATCCCAGGTACTTGGGATGCTGAGGCATGAGAATCGCTTGAACCTAGGAGGCGGAGGTTGTAGTGAGCTGAGAGCATGCCACTGCACTCCATCCTGGGTGACAGAATGAGACTCTGTCTCAAAAAAATAAATAAAATCGTGTCATTAAAAAAATCCATGCAGTCTGTCCTCCCATGTGACATTCACGTGGAAGGACAGGCGCACACCAGCCTGTGGGTCTGGACGTTAATCCTCTAGCTGTAGGTCAGCCTGTGCTTGTGGTGTCAGAATTTCTGGGTGCTGATGGAGACCTGTGTGTTCCTGGGACTGACAGGCAGGATGGGGGATGTGTGTGTGTCTGGGCGTCCGTGTGCACCAGTCTCTGGGTATGAATATAAGTGTGTGTATATATCCAGATGTGGCAACATCCATGTGTTGTTAGATGTTGTTACCGCTGTGTGTCTAGATGTTATGACAGCATGTGTGTGTGTGTGTCTAGATGTTATGATGGTGTGTGTGTGTGTCTAGATGTTATGATGGGGTGTGTGTGTGTCTAGATGTTAATCCTCTAGCTGTAGGTCAGCCTGTGCTTGTGGTGTCAGAATTTCTGGGTGCTGATGGAGACCTGTGTGTTCCTGGGACTGACAGGCAGGAGTGGGGATGCAGGCTCCAAGGCCTGCAAAATCACACAGTCTCTGGGCATGAATATAAGTGTGTATATATCCATGTGGCAACATCCATGTGTGTTATAGATGTTGTTACCAAATGTGTCTAGATGTTATGACAGCATGTGTGTGTGTGTGTGTCTAGAGATGTTATGGATGGTGTGTGTGTGTGTCTAGATGTTATGATGGGGTGTGTGTGTGTCTAGATGTTATGATAGCATGTGTGTGTGTCTAGATGTTATGATGGTGTGTGTGTACCATAGGATGTTACGAGACAGTGTGTGTCTAGATGTTATGATGTGTGTGTGTCTAGATGTTATGATGGGGTGTGTGTGTGTCTAGATGTTGTGACAGCGTGTGTGTGTGTCTAGATGTTACGACAGCATGTGTGTGTGTGTCTAGATGTTGTGATAGTGTGTGTGTGTGTGTCTCTAGACGTATGACAGCATGTGTGTGTGTGTCTAGGATGTTATGACAGCATGTGTGTGTGTGTCTAGATGTTAGTGATGGTGTGTGTGTGTCTAGATGTTAGTGATGGTGTGTGTGTGTGTCTAGATATTATGATGGTGTGTGTGTGTGTCCCAGATGTTATGATGGTGTGTGTGTGTCTAGATGTTATGATGGTGTGTGTGTGTGTCTAGGTGTTATGATAGTGTGTGTGTGTGTGTCTAGATGTTAGTGATAGTGTGTGTCTGTGTGTGTGTGTGTCTAGATGTTATGATGGTGTGTGTGTATGTGTCTAGATGTTATGATGGTGTGTCTAGATGTTATGATGGTGTGTGTGTGTGTCTAGATGTTATGACAGCATGTGTGTGTGTGTCTAGATGTTATGATAGTGTGTGTCTGTGTGTGTGTGTGTCTAGATGTTATGATGGTGTGTGTGTGTGTGTCTAGATGTTATGATGGTGTGTGTGTGTGTCTAGATGTGTTATGACAGCATGTGTGTGTGTGTGTGTCTGTGATGTTATGACAGCATGTGTGTGTGTGTGTGTCTAGATGTTATGATGGTGTGTGTGTGTGTGTGTCTAGATGTTATGATGGTGTGTGTGTGTGTCTAGATGTTATGATGGTGTGTGTGTGTGTCTAGATGTTATGATGGTGTGTGTGTGTGTCTAGATGTTATGATGGTGTGTGTGTGTGTCTAGATGTTATGCCAGCATGTGTGTGTGTGTGTCTAGATGTTATGATGGCGTGTGTGTGTGTTGCTCCAGATGTTATGATGGTGTGTGTGTGTGTGTCTAGGATGGGGCAGGACAGCATGTGTGTGTGTGTGTGTCTCTAGATATGTTATGATGGTGTGTGTGTGTGTCTAGATGTTGGTGATGGGGTGTGTGTGTCTAGATGTTATGATGGTGTGTGTGTGTCTAGATGTTATGATGGTGTGTGTGTGTGTCTAGGTGTTATGATGGTGTGTGTGTGTGTCTAGATATTATGATGGTGTGTGTGTGTGTGTCTAGATGTTATGATGGTGTGTGTGTGTGTCTAGATGTTATGATGGTGTGTGTGTGTGTCTGGGTGTTATGATGGTGTGTGTGTGTGTCTAGATGTTATGAGGGTGTGTGTGTCTAGATGTTATGATGGTGTGTGTGTGTGTCTAGATGTTATGACAGCATGTGTGTGTGTGTCTAGATGTTATGATAGTGTGTGTCTGTGTGTGTGTGTCTAGATGTTATGATGGTGTGTGTGTGTGTCTAGATATTATGATGGTGTGTGTGTGTCTAGATGTTATGATGGTGTGTGTGTCTAGATGTTATGATGGTGTGTGTGTGTGTGTCTAGATGTTATGACAGCATGTGTGTGTGTGTGTCTCTAGATGTTATGACAGCATGTGTGTGTGTGTCTAGATGTTATGATAGCATGTGTGTGTGTGTCTAGATGTTATGATAGTGTGTGTCTGTGTGTGTGTGTCTAGATGTTATGATGGTGTGTGTGTGTGTCTAGATGTTATGATGGTGTGTGTGTGTGTCTAGATGTTATGACAGCATGTGTGTGTGTCTAGATGTTATGACAGCATGTGTGTGTGTGTGTGTCTAGATGTTATGATGGTGTGTGTGTGTGTCTAGATGTTATGATGGTGTGTGTGTGTGTCTAGATGTTATGATGGGGTGTGTGTCTAGATGTTATGATGGTGTGTGTGTGTGTCTAGATGTTATGATGGTGTGTGTGTGTGTGTCTAGATGTTATGACAGCATGTGTGTGTGTGTGTCTAGATGTTATGATGGTGTGTGTGTGTGTCTAGATGTTATGATGGTGTGTGTGTGTGTCTAGACAGTTATGATGGTGTGTGTGTGTGTCTAGATGTTATGATGGTGTGTGTGTCCAGACAAGATGATGGTGTGTGTGTGTGTCTAGATGTTGGTGATGTGTGTGTGTGTCTAGATGTTATGATGGGGTGTGTGTGTGTCTAGATGTTATGATGGTGTGTGTGTGTCTAGATGTTATGATGGTGTGTGTGTGTGTCTAGATGTTATGATGGGGTGTGTGTGTGTCTAGATGTTATGATGGTGTGTGTGTCTAGATGTTATGACAGCATGTGTGTGTGTGTCTAGATATTATGATGGTGTGTGTGTGTGTCTAGATGTTATGATGGTGTGTGTGTGTCTAGATGTTATGATGGGGTGTGTGTGTGTCTAGATGTTGTGATGGGGTGTGTGTGTCTAGATGTTATGATGGTGTGTGTGTCTAGATGTTATGATGGTGTGTGTGTGTGTCTAGATGTTAAGATGGTGTGTGTGTGTGTCTAGATGTTATGATGGTGTGTGTGTGTGTGTCTAGATGTTGTGATGGTGTGTGTGTGTGTCTAGATGTTATGATGGTGTGTGTGTGTGTCTAGATGTTATGATGGGGTGTGTGTGTGTGTCTAGATGTTATGATGGGGTGTGTGTGTGTCTAGATGTTATGATGGTGTGTGTGTGTCAAGGTATTGATATGACTGTGTGTGCCTGTAACAGGAGACACCATCAGCAGTGAGAGGCTGCATGTTGCCCTGACTGTGGATGGGCCTGAGGCTCTGCAGGAGACCATGGGAGGAGGGGAGACAATCTGCCACGTGTCTGTCTGACAACGCCCATAGTCACGCTTCCCATATGCCCGCATGAGCTGCCTGTGCCTTAGTCCTGACACCAGGTTACACCCATCAGCCAGTATGTCCCCAATCCAAAGGCTCCCAGCCTCCCATGGGGACAGCTGTAGGCTACACCCTATGCCCCCAGCCTGGGATCTGCTCACACCTGTGCATGTATACAGCTGTATACATGTGCAGTGTGTGTGCAGATACACGGGTGGGTGAGTGTGTACATGTGGGTGTGTACGTGTGTGTGCACTGCAAATGCGTATGCAGGTGCAGGTGCACAGGCAGGTGTGTGTGCATATGCAGGTGTGTGTGCACATGGGGGTGTATGTACACATGCTGGTATATGCACATGTGGGTGTGTGCAAGTGTGCATGCATGTGCAGCTGTGTGTGCACGTTCAAGGGTGTGTACACATGCAGATGTGTGCACATGTGGGTGTATATGTGTGCGTACATGTGGGTGAGCGTGCATGCATGCAGGTAGGTATGTGCATGTACAGATGTGGGGGTACATGCCAGTGTGTGTGTGCACGTACAGGCGTGGGTGCACACTCCAGTGGGTGTGTGCACATGCGGACAGGTGTGTACACATGTGGGTGGGTGTGCACGTGTGGGGTATGCATGCACAGGTGTGGGTGCACACTCGAGTGGGCGTGTGCACACGGGGACAGATGTGTACACATGCAGGTGGGTGTGCACGTGTGGGTGGACTGTACGTGCACAGGTGTGGTGTGTGCACACGGCGTGTGTGCGTATGCTGCCTCACCTTGGTGCTGCCATTGCTATAGGTCTGGATCATGTTCTCCGCCCCCTGCTTCACCTTCAGCTCAATGGCCAACTGCTTCTCCAGGCCTGCCACGCGGCTCAGGTTGGTGGCCGAGCAGGTGGGGCCACCCACACCGGGGGACTGGGGGCCATCTACAGGTCACAGGTGGAGAGAGTCATCACGCATGGTCACCTCGGTCTGCCTGGGAGGCTTCATCCTCAGCCCAGCCTGGGCATTGCCCCTGAGGCACGGGGAGGGGGAGCTGGGGACCAGCAGGCAGGCAGGCAGGGGGACACCAGGGCCCAGCAGTCTACCCACCCACCCACCCGGGGAAACTCCTCGGGGCTGGGGCAGGACTCAGGATGAAAGAGTGCAGGCGAGCACCCAGGTGTCTTAGTGTGTCCTTGGTGCTGGGTCCACTGCATCTGGGAGGCCCGTTAGTAACTACGTACACGGCTTGTGTGAGCCTGTGGGTGTGGGAGTGGTGCCATCTGTGAGCTGCAGGGTGTTGGCATGGCTGAGTGTGTGTCTCCCTAGGTGTTAGTGTAACTCTGTGAGACGCCATGTGTTAGGATGACTGAGATCGTGGGTGTTGGGAGATGCTCTGCGTATATCTCTGACTGTTGCTACAACTGTGACTTCAGATCTCCAGGTTGGTATGACTGAGTCTCCGGGTGTTGGCACATCCGGATGCATGTGTCTGCGTAAGTCTCTGGAGAGTGGTGTGATGCTCGAGGGGACCCTGGGTGCAGAAATGACTGAGGCTGGGCGCAGTCATTATAATCCCAGCACTTTGGGAGGCCGAGGCAGGCGGATTGCTTGAGGTCAGGAGTTAAAGACCACCCTCGCCAACATGGCAAAACCTCGTCTCTACTAAAAATACAAAAATTAGCCAGGCGTGGTGGCTTATGCCTATAATCCCAGCTAATTGGGAAGCTGGGGCAGGAGAAACGCCTGAACCTGGGAGGTGGAGGTTGCAGTGAGCCGAGATTGTGCTATTGCACTTCAGCCTGGGTGACAAGAGTGAAACTCTGTCCGTCCCCCTCCCCCCGCAGAAAAAATTTAAACTGCTGGGCGAGGTGGCTCACAACTGTAATCCCAGCATTTTGGGAGGCAGATCACCTGAGGTGGGTGGATCAGTTGAGGACAGGAGTTTGAGACCAGCCTGGCCAACATGGTGAAACCCCATCTCTACTAAAAATATAAACATTAGCCGGGCATGGTGGCACATGCCTGTAGTCCCAGCTACTCAGGAGGCTGAGGCAGGAGAATCGCTTGAACCTGGGAGGTGGAGGTTGCAGTGAGCTGAGATCACACTACTGCTCTCCAGCCTGGGCAACAGAGCAAGAGTCCGTCTCAAAAAGAAAAAAAAAAAGAAAAAAAAAATGTAAAACCAATAAAAATTTTTTAAATTGAAAAACAATCTGGGTGCAATGGCTCACACCTGTACTCCCAGCATTTGGGAGGCCAAAGCAGGAGGATCACTTGAAGCCAGGAGTTCTAGCTAAGCCCTGGCAACATACCAAGATCCTGTCTCTACAAAAAGAAAAAAAAGAAAGAAAGAAATTAAATCAGCCAGGCATGGTGGTATATGCCCATAGTCCCAGCTACTTGGAAGGCTGAGGTAGGAGAATTGTTTGAGCCCAGGAAATTGAGGCTGTAGTGAGCTTTGATCACACCACTGTACTCTAGCCTGGGTGACAAGGCAAGACCCTGTCTCAAAACAAAAACAAAAATAAACAGTCTTTAGGCATCATCCATGTAATTGTGAGAGTTTCTGGGTATTCGTGTGACCGTGTGCACACCCTTGAGTGTTGCCTGGGTGTTGGCGTGGCTGTGTCTGGAGGTATTCGTGTGACAGTATGTGCACCCTTGGGTGTGCCTGGGTGTTGGTGTGGCTGTTCTTTTAGGTGTTTGTGTGAGTGTGTGTACATCCTTGAATGTTGCCTGGGTGTTAGCGTGGCTGTGTCTAGAGGTATTCATGTGACAGCGTGCACAGTCTTGAGTGTTACCAGGTGCTGGTATGGCTGTATGCACCTCTCTGGGTGTTGGTGGCTGCGTGGGTCATGGCATGCGTCTCCCTGGGGGTCCGCGGAGATGGGTTATCCTGGCTCTGAAGACCATGTGTGAGCCAGTGAGCAGTGGAACCCCCGCCTGGAGTCCCACATCCCCAGAGGCATCCCAGCTCACCATGGGTGGCCGCCGGGTCGGGCAGCACCACATGGGCGTGCAGCTCCTGCAGCTGCTGGTGCAGCAGGTCGAGGCGGCGCGAGGAGCCCCGCAGCAGCAGCTCCACGGGGCCCAGGCTGCGGCCCAGGTCGGTGGTGGCCCGCCGCAGGTTCTCAGCACCCTCCTTCAGCTTCAGCTCCTTGCGGATTTCCCGCCGCAGCCGCTCCCGCTCCAGCTCCAGCTGCTGCTGTACCCCAGGGGCCGCCAGGTCTGCCCCGGCCAGGCCCAGCTGCTCTAGCAGGGACCAGCTGCGAGGCTCACTCTGCGGGGGACACAGCAGGGTCAGTGGGGTTAGGAGGACTCTGGGTGCAGACCACATGCAGCCAGCCTGGCCCAGCCTCTGCCCTGGATTGGGGCTCCCAAGACAGGGCCTGCTCTACCTCCTCTGACTCTCAAAACTGGAAGGTGACAAGACCCTGCCACTGCTTCCTGACCTCCCCAAACTGGGAGGTCTCAAGAGCAGGGCCTTCTCACCCCTGCCACCACAGGGTCCCCCACATTAAGGGGGTCTCAAGAATAAGATCTGTCTCCCTTCTGCTGCCTCCCCCAAATGAGAGGGTCCCAAGGGAAGATTCCTTCTTTTCTCTGCTGCTCCCCAAAACTAAGAGGGCCCAAGGGCAGGCCCTGTCTTCTCTCTGCTGTATCCCCAAAACTACAGGGTCCTGAGGACAGGCCCCATCTTCCCTCACCTGTACCCTGAAACTATGGCATCCCGAGGGCAGGCCTCATCTTTCCTTGGCTATACCCCCAAAACTAGGGCATCCCAAGGGCAGGCCGAGTCTTCTCTCTGCTGTACCCCCAAACTATGAGGTCTTGAAGACCCTCATCTGCTCTTCTCCTATCTTCAACAACTGGGACCCTAAAGAGCAGAGCCTGGACTCCTTCCTCCTGTCTCTCCCCAACCTGGGAGCCCCGAAGGGCCCTGGATAGTCTCATCCTCCAAACAGAGAACTCTGAGGCCAGCGCCCCATCTCCTCTCCTTGTTCCCAAACAGAGAGGTACCCAGGGAAGGACTACTGGCCTATGCCACTTGGGGTCCCCTTCTGCCTGCCCCCACAGGGACCCTGGACCCCACCTCCAGCTCCTGCTCCGAGGGGGTATTGGCCTCCGCCATCCTGGGTCCGGGCTGAGGGCTCCGCCCTCTTCCTGAACCTCAGCCCCACCAGGGCCTCTCGGCCGCCACTTCCTCTTTCCTGTCAACTCCCAGCACCCCTCGCGCGGGGCCAACTCCAGGGCATCTAAGGGACCTTCCCTTCAGCCACCTCTGGGGCCAAGCCTGCTCCTCTAGATGAAACCCAGGGACAGTCCTTGCTCCCTGTCCCTAGAGAATGTCCGAAGTGTAGGCAGTTTGTACATTCACACACTCATGGTGTATGAGGGGATGCAGGCTCTGGGGACTGACTTGAGTATGCAAACACTTTCAAATACATATGTGGATATGCACACAACACAGGCTCACAAGTGTTTGCACACTTTCTTTTTCTTTTTTTTGAGATGGAGTCTCCCTGTGTTGACCAGGCTAAAGTGCACTGGTGCAATCTTGGCTCACTGCAACCCCCGCCTCCCAGGTTCAAGTAATTCTCTTGCCTCAGCCTCCCAAGTAGCTGGGATTACAGGCATGTGCCGCCACGCCCAGCTAATTTTTGTATTTTTAGTAGAGACAGGGTTTCACCATGTTGGCCAGGGTGGTCTCGAATTCCTGACCTCAGGTGATCTGCCCTCCCCGGGCCTCCGAAAGTGCTGGGATTACGGGCGTGTACTACCGTGCCTGGCCTGTGTTTGCACACTGCTATGGCTGCAGGTGTGTGCCTGCAACACAGGCTCACACGTGTGCACACTCCCATGCCTGTGTGTGTGGATGAAACAAAGATCCACACACAGGTGCACACTTCTACACCTGCAGATGTATGCCTGGAAAATGGGCTCACAGTGTACCCATGCCCATGCCCACCACATATGCACTTATTTGCAAACACATACAAGTGCTTATGAGTTTCACTCTAGAACCCATACAAGACACACTCCCACCTGCCCGAGAGGGCACAGCCCACATGCTCATGCGTGTGCACATGCTCACACACGTATGCACGCTCCCCGAGGCCCCTGCAGCGCGTCCATGCTCCCACAGACCTCCAGCCTTGCGACTATCTGCATATGTCCCTACAGCCAGACTCTTTCAGCCACCCCTTGTCCCCGGCTTCCCCTTCAGGGTCAGAACAGCCACTTCTTCAGAGGCGAGGCCCCCTTCCTGCAGACGGGCCGTCCCAACTTCCTGCTTCCTCTCAGTCCAGTCACCAACTGTTATTGACCATAGCTGAGAGGCCCAGGGTCCCAGCCAGCCCAGTGGCACCTCCCTCAGGCCAACACAATTAGGGGACAGCACTGGGGGACTAGGATAAGAATTTGCAAAACCAGGCCAGGCACGGTGCCTCACGCCTATAATCCCAGCATTTTGGGAGGCTGAGGTAGGTGGGTCACCTGAGGTCGGGAGTTCGAGACCAGCCTGACCAACATGGAGAAATCCTGTCTCTACTAAAAATACAAAAAATTAGCCGGGCATGGTGGCGGGCGTCTGTAGTCCCAGCTACTCGGGAGGCTGAGGCAGGAGAATGGCGGGAACCCAGGAGGTGGAGCTTGCAGTGAGCTGAGATCGTGCCACTGCACTCCAGCCTGGGCAACAGAGCAAGACTCTGTTTCCAAAAAAAAAAAAAAAAAAAAATTAGCCCGGCATGGTGGCGCATGCCTATAATCCCAGCTACTCGGGAGGCTGAAGCAGAATTGCTTGAACCCAGGAGGGAGAGGTCGAGGTGAGCCAGGATCATGCCATCGCACTTCAGCCTGGGTAACAAGAGCAAAACTCTGTCTCAAAAAAAAAAAAAAAAAAAGAATTTCCAAAACCATGCCAGGCGTGGTAGCTCACATCTGTAATCCCAGCACTTTGGGAGGGTGAGCGAGGCAGATCACTTGAGGTCAGAAGTTCGAGACCAGCCTGGCCAACATGATGAAACCCCATCTCTACTAAAAATTTGAAAATTAGCCAGGCATAGTGGCACGTGCTTGTAATCCAAGCTGCTTGGGAGGCTGAGGCATGAGAATCGCTTGAACCTGGGAGGTGGAGGTTGCAGTGAGTTGAGATCACACCACCGCACTCCAGCCTGGGCGACAGAGTGAGATTCTATCTCAAAAAAGAAAGAAAGAAAGAAAGAAAGAATGCCCCAAATCAGTGGCCTACAAAACCACTTGCTAAGCACACAATAACGTTCAAGAACAACTTATGATGGGGTTACTTCCTGACAAGCTTGTCATAAGTTGAAAATATCATAAGTCAAAAATGCATTTAATACACTTTACCTACCACACATGATAGCTCACCCTGGCCTACCTTAAATGTGCTCAGAGCACTTACCCACACCTACAGTTGGGCAAAAACATCTAACACAAAGCTACTTTACAATAAAGTTGAATATCTCATGTAAATTGTTTTCTTTTTTTTGAGACAGGGTCTTACTCTGTCACCCAGGCTGGAGTGCTGTGGTGTGATCATAGCTCCTTGCAGTGTCTACCTCCCAGGCTCAAACAGTCCTCCCAGCTCAGCCTCCCAAGCAGCTGGGACTATAGGCATGTGCCACCACACCTGGCTAACGTTAGTATTTTTCATAGACATGGGGTCTCACTATGTTGCCCAGGCTGATCTCAAACTCTTAGCCTCAAGTAATCTTCCTGCCTCGGCCTCCAAAAGTGCTGGGATTACAGATGTGAGTCGCTGCCCCGTGACTGGGGCCTTGATTTAAAATAAGAGCACCTAGATTCCAAATGCCCGCTAGGAAATAGCCCCCTGGCATTATCTCCTTCAGCTGGGAGCATCCATTTCACAGACAAGGAATGTTTTTTTTTTTTTTTTTTTTTTTGAGACGGAGTCTTGCTCTGTCGCCCAGGCTGGAGTGCAGTGGCCAGATCTCAGCTCACTGCAAGCTCCGCCTCCCGGGTTTACGCCATTCTCCTGGCTCAGCCTCCTGAGTAGCTGGGACTACAGGCGCCCGCCACCTCGCCTGGCTAGGTTTTTGTATTTTTTAGTAGAGACAGGATTTCACCAGGTTAGCCAGGATGGTCTCGATCTCCTAACCTCGTGATCCACCCGTCTCGGCCTCCCAAAGTGCTGGGATTACAGGCTTGAGCCACCGCACCCGGCCAAGGAATGTTATCCTTGGCTCCTGAGGGATCGCAAGAGCAGCTGCCCCCAGGGAGGAATGCCACAGACCAAGTGTATCACTCCCACCATCTTCCCAACCCCTCTCTACTAATCCTGAGTAGCTGCCAAGAATCTCACCACTTCACAGATGAGGAAACTGAGGCTCAAGGAAGTAACAGTAGTATTTTTTTGTTTTTTTTTTTGTTTGTTTGGTTTTTTTTGAGACGGAGTCTCGCTCTGTCGCCCAGGCTGGAGTGCAGTGGCCGGATCTCAGCTCACTGCAAGCTCCGCCTCCCGGGTTCACGCCATTCTCCTGCCTCAGCCTCCCGTGTGGCTGGGACTATAGGCGCCCGCCACCGCGCCCGGCTAATTTTTGTATTTTTTAGTAGAGACGGGGTTTCACCGTGTTAGTCAGGATGGTCTCGATCTCCTGACCTCGTGATCCGCCCATCTCGGCCTCCCAAAGTGCTGGGATTACAGGCGTGAGCCACCGCGCCCGGCCTTGTTTTGTTTTTTGAGACAGTGTCTTGCTCTTTCGCCTAGGCTGGAGTGCAGTGGCGCGATCTCGGCTCAGTGCAATCTCCACCTTCCGGGTTCAAGCGATTCCCCTGCCTCAGCCTCCTGAGTAGTTGGGACTACAGGCACGTGCCATCACGCCCAGCTAATGTTTTGTATTTTTAGTAGAGACGGGATTTCACATGTTGGCCAGGCTGGTCTCAAACTCCTGATCTCAAGTGATCAGCCAGCCTCAGCCTCCCAAAGTGCTGGGATTACAAGTGTGAGGCACTGTGCCTGGCCAGTAACAGTTTTCCATGGAGGGGAGATTTTCTCCCCATACCCAGGGACATGTGGCAACATCCAGAGACATTTTTCGTTGTCATGACTGTGGGTAGGGAGATGGCTTCTATCAGGGTGAGGCCAGGGATGCCGCTCAACGCCCTGCAGTGCGCAGGACAGCCCCTACTGCAAAGAATGACCCAGCCCTCAATGTCAGTAGCGCTAAGGCTGAGAAGCCTACTGTTAAGGGTCATAGATTTGGCCAGGTGTGGTGGTTCACATCTGTAATCCCAGCGCTTTGAGAGGCTGAGGGAGGAGCAGTGTTTGAGGTCAGGAATTGGAGATCAGTCTGGGCAACATAGCAGGACCTACAAAAATCTCTACAAAAAATCTTAAAAGTATTGGCCAGGTATGGTGACTCTGCCTGTGATCCTAGCACTTTAGGAGGCCGAGGCCAGAGAATTGTTTGAGCTCAGGAGTTCCAGACCAGCCTGGGAAATAGCGGTGAGACCCCATCTCTACAAAAAATATGAGAATTAGGCAGGTGTGATGGCGTGTGCCTGTAGTCTCAACTACTTGGGAGCCTGAGGTGGGAAGCTCGCTTGAGCCCAGGAGGCAGAGGTTCCAGTGAGCTGAGATCACACCATTGCGCTCCAGCCTGGCCAACAGAGCCAGGCTTTGTCTCAAAAAAGAAAAAAAGAGGCCTGGCGCAGTGGCTCATGCCTGTAATCCCAGCACTTTGGGAGGCCAAGGCGGGAGGATCACGAGGTCAGATCAAGGCCATCCTGGCTAACACCATGAAACCCTGTCTCTACTAAAAAAAAAAAAAAAAATTAGCCAGGTGTGGTGGCAGGCGCCTGTAGTCCCAGCTACTTGGGAGGCTGAGGCAGGAGAATGGCGTGAACCTGGAAGGTGGAGCTTGCTACACTCCAGCCTGAGCGACAGAGTGAGACCCTGTCACAAAACAAAGAAAAAGAAAAAGAAAAAAGAAAAAAAGGCTAGGTGCAGTGGCTCACACGTATAATCCCAGCACTTTGGGAGGCCTAGGTGGGCAGGTTACTTTGAACTCAAGAGTTCAAGACAAGCCTGGGCAACATGGCGAAACCCTGCCTCTACTAAAAATACAAAAATTATCCAGGCGTGGTGGTGCGCACCTGTAGTCCCAGCTACTCAGGAGGCTGGGGTGGGAGAACCGCTTGAGTCTAGGAGGCAGAGATCATGCCGCTGCACTCCAGCCTGGGTGACAGAGTGAGACCCCAGTCTCAATTTAAAAAAAAGAAAAAAAGAAAAAAAAAATCAACCAGGTATGGTGGTACATGCTTGTAGTCCTATAGATCAGGTGTTTGAGGCTGCAGTGAACAAGACTCTCGCCATTGCATTCCAGCCTAGGTAACAGAGCGGGACCCTGTCTCTACAAAAGTAAAAGGAAATTAGCCAGGCATGTTGGTCTGTGCCTTTTGTCCCAGCTACTCGGGAGGCTGAGGCAGGAAGATCACTTGAGTCCCAGAAATTGGAAATCAAGGCTGCAGTGAGATAGGATCGCACCGCTGCACTCCAGCCTGGGTGACAGAGCAAGACTGTCTCCCCCAAAATAAATAAATATAAATAAGTGAATCAATCAGTAAGGACACAGATTCACACCCTGAGCTGCTGACCAGGACGCTTACCAGTAATGACTTCACAGCAGCCCCGCCTGCCAAGTGCTGGCCAGGTCTCGGTCTCTCTCTCTCCCATGAACACCCTCTTAGTCCCATTTTTCCTAGGTCAGAACCAAGGCTCAGAGAGGCGAAGGCACTGGGCCCAGGACACACAGCAAGGAAGTGTCAGCGTCGGAATTTAAGCCCAGGCTCACCAAATACCACCCTCAGTCAGGACCCACCCCATCCCCAGCAGGCAGAGGGAGGACACAGCCAAGAGCGGGGTCAGCTCAACTGGGGAAGTCCAGGCAGAGAGGAGAGGTGGCCTCCCTCGGCCCCACCTCCAGCAGCTGAGGTCTGTAATGCAGAGAGGGAGGGAGGCTGGGCTCCTGAGTTCTCCTCCCCTGAGTGACTCACTTCTTCCCAGGGCATACAGGTCACCTGAGGGCCACCAAGGCAAACCTAGGACTCAGGGGCCGGGCCTGGCCTATGGAGAACCCCTCCTCCTCTGCTGCCTACCATGGAGCGGAGACCTCAGACCCAGAGGACCTGCCTCCCAGAACCCCCTTCTTGCCAGAGCAGCCAGGGACCTAGACCCCCACATCCGGAGATTTCAATGCCTTGGGCGTTTCCGGAATCTGGACAGGACATCCGTTTGCAGGACACAGAACAGACAGGCACACGTTGGGACAGACAGAGGGACAGGGCGGCAGGCCCAAGCAACCATGAGAGAGGGATGACCAGGAGGAGGGAAGAGACTAAGGAGGAGATGGGAAGGGGGGACCAGGGCGTGGGTCCAGCCTCACTGCAGGAATCACAGCCTGTCTGGGTCATGTGTGGGACGCGCCAAGCGCATGCATGCGCCCGGGGATTCCTACACAGCCCTCCCTGGGCCGGGGGTAGAGGCAGGGACCCCGGCCCATCCCGGCCCTGAGGTCTGACCTTGTGTGATCGGCAACACCAGATACGCCCAGCTCCTCGGCAAGGCCGGCAGGCCATCAGCAGGACTGGGGAGGTGGGAGGGACCGGGGGTTACAGGGGAGACACAGAGGGGCAGGGGGCAGGTGCAGAAGGAGACGAGAACCCAGTTACACAACAGCCACAGGACGATGAACTGGATGGTGAGGTGCTAATGGGTGCACCGAGGCACAGACATTTCTCAGATTTGGGTCACTTGAACCAAAGAAGGTTGGCAGTCACGCTGGCCCTGCTTGTCACAGACAGGGAAGATGAGTCCAGGTCAGTGATACCCACCAGGTGGCACGGGGGAATCTGGCTGGGCGGAAGGCTGGTGCCAGTCACGTGTGTGTGTTAGGAGGGTGGGGGTGACCCAGCCCTGCCCAGCCACCATGCAAAAAAGTAGGATTCTATATATGGGAGCATCCCTGGCCTGTTGACTGAGGCACTCCCCACCCGGGAGAAGGTTCCACCTGACAGTCCAAGAGTGGGAGCGGGGGTCCCCAGTCCCCCGACCTAATGCAGTGACTCGGGTACTTCCGCCAACAGGTGCCAATCTGGGTGGCGTCTGGAACACTATAAAGCTGTCTAGAGGCGGGGGTGGCTGGAGCTTTGTTATGCGGGGGAAGGGCACGGGCCGGGCCCGGCGGCCTCCTCCCCTCCCACGGCACTGCGCCAGGCACCTGCCCCAGGTGGAGCGGCACCTGCCGGGCACCCAACCCTGGGGAGGGGGATGAGTTTGGGGGCGGACGAGAGGCACCGGGACTCCCAGCCAGCCACAGACACCCGAAGTAGAGCCTCCGCCGCGCCCCTTCTAGTTCTCCGGGAGAGGCCGAGTTTGGGGGTGCAGCGGGGGTTGCCTCCGAGATTGCCCCCAAACCAGCCCCGTCCACATCGCCACCTGCCGAGAAGGGGGCCTCGCTGGCTCCACAGTCCCGGCCCAGGGAGGGGGCGCTGGGCGCTCCGGAGGTCCCCGCCCTAGCCATCGCCACCCGAGTCCCGTTCGGGGGGGGCTGGGGGGCTCCCCCGGGAGCGCGAGGGCGGGGTCCCCCGGAGCCGTCCGGTCGCCCCGGGACTCCAGATGCAGGTGCGCCTACCTGCAAGGCGTCGCTGGCCATGTCCTCCTGCCGCCCGCCAGGGGTCCCCGCGCGGAGGGAGGGGCGGCCAGAGGAGCGCGCGTGCGCCCCGGGCGTGGCGGGGAGGGGGCGGGCGCGGCGCGACCCTCCCCGGCGCGCGGCCCGCTCCGGCCTGCTAGGCTCCCGCCTCGCCTGCCCAGGCCGCCGCGTCCCCGCGCCGCGCCCTCCAGCCCCAGCGGCCGCCGGGCCCGGTCACGTGACCCCGGAGGTCGGCGCCCGGGGAGGGGGCGGGGCCGAGGGGGAGGGGCTCCCAGAGGCCCCCGGGGCTGCGGGGTCCCGCCCGCCCGCCCCCTCAGTCTCCCGAGCTCGGAGCACCCTGATCGGCTCCCCACCTTTCCTCTTTCCGGGTCCTGCGACGACCGCACGCTGCCGAGAGGTCCCCCATTGGAGCGCGCGGGAACCCGAGGAGAACGGTTCCTCGCGTTCAACCCGAGAGCGGCGGAGGCCTTTGGGCCTCCCAGGACCCCTGAAAAAAAAACACAATAACCCCCCACCCCACCCCACCCCTGTGCATTTGCAAGCTCGGGACGCCTGCATCTGTGGTCCCCTATTCAAGGGCATGGAAGTTTCCCCGTTACCTGGAGACAAGCTCTGGGCAGATCTGCATTCAAATGCCAGCGCTTTACGCCTTGGGGAAGCCAAATCCTTCCAGGCACCTCATCTGTGAAATGGGAATGATGCGCTCACCTCCTAGGTGTTGGCAAAATTCAATGAGACAGTGCAGGCCAAGAGCTGAGAACACACCAGACGCTCCATAAGTGTTGGCTGCTGTCACTTTTAATGTTATCGTAATTGTTTGTTGTTTTGCTGTTTTGGGACAGAGTTTCGCTCTGTTGCCCATCCTGGAGTGCAGTGGTGCGATCTCGGCTCACTGCAACCTCTGCCTCCCGGGTTCAAGCGATTCTTCTGCCTCAGCCTCCTGAGTAGCTAGGATTACAGGTGCCCGCCATCATGCCCGGCTAATTTTTGTACTTTTAGTAGAGATGGGGTTTCATCATGTTGGCCAGGCTGGTCTCAAACTCCTGATCAGGTGATCCGCCTGCCTCGGTCTCCTAAAGTGCTGGGATTACACAGGCCTGAGCCACCGCGCCCGACCTCTATTATCGTTACTGTTATTAAAAGAGGTTTGAATCTCAACTCGCTGTTCATCCTGGGAACCCCTGTGGGCTCTGAGTCTCAGTTTTCCCCACAATAAAATGGGCACCGCCTTCTTTTTCGGGGCTGCTGCATGCAGATGGCGCTCCATAAATGCAGACTCGTGCCCAAGTGGAGAGTGGAGGCCTCTGCGGAATTTCTAGGGGGATCTCCGGGGTCTGCAGAACGTGCAGCTTTGTTTGTGGCTGCCGTCGGACCCTCACTCCTTCGGAAACCAGGCGAGGGAGCCAAACCTTGGTCTCCGGGGCTCCGGCGGGGAGCGCTCCCTGGCGGCGGTGCCTGCACACTGGCGCCCTTTGGGACCCAAGGAAGCGCCGTGGGCTGTGGGTACCTTAGCTACGCGTGACTCTGCGTGGTTTCAGTCGTCCCGGAAACCAGGGCGCGATGTTTTCTCTCTTATTTTTTCCTCTGAGCAACTCTTTGGGGGATATTAACAACAGAAAGAGAGAAGGAGGAGAATATTCTGATCTAGAAGCCATCCACCCGGGCATGGTAGCGCATGCCTATAGTCCCAGCTACCAGGAGGGTGAGGCAGGAGGATCGCTTGAGCTCCAGAGGCCGAGAATGCATCACTGTGGGGAGCAATCATGATGCCCCTGCACTCCAGCCTGGGTGACAGAGCGAGACCTTGACTAAAAAAAAGAAAGAAAAAAAAAGTCTGGGTGCAGTGGCTCACCCCTGTAATCCCAGCCCTTTAGGAGGCCAAGGTGGGTGGTGGGTGGATCACTGGAGGTCAGGAGTTCGAGACCAGCCTGGCCAATATGGTGAAACCCGTCTCTACTAAAAAATATAAAATTAGCTGAGTGTGGTGGCACGTGCCTGTAATCCCAGCCACTTGGGAGGCTGAGGCAGGAGAATGGCATGAACCCAGTAGGCGGAGGTTGCAGTGAGCCAAGATCGCACCACTGCATTACCCCCTGGGTGACAGAGCAAGACTTTGTCAGAAAGGCAGGAAGGAAGGGAGGGAGGGAGGGAGGGAAAGGGAAGAAAAGAAAAGAGAAAAGAAAAGAACTCTGCGAGCTGGGCGCAGTGGCTCACGCCTGTAATCTCAGCACTTTGGGAGGCCCAGATGGGCGGATCATGAGGTCAGGAGGTCAGGACCATCCTGGCTAATATGGTGAAACCCCATCTCTACTAAAAATACAAAAAATTAGCCGGGTGCAGTGGCGGGCGCCTGTAGTCCCAGCTACCCCAGAGGCTGAGGCAGGAGAATGGCGTGCACCCAGGTGGCGGAGCTTGCAGTGAGCCGAGATCGCACCACTGCACTCCAGCCTGGGGGACAGAGCAAGACTCCCTCTCAAAAAAAAAAAAAAAAAACAAACAAAAACAAAACAAAACAAAAACAACTCTGCAAGCTAGCTATTTGATATTTATGTATTTGTTTGTTTGTTTATTTATACAGAATTTCACTCTCGTTGCCCAGGCTGAAGTGTGATGGCATGATCTCCACTCACCGCAACTTCTGCCTCCCTGGTTCAAGCAATTCCCACCCTTAGCCTCCCGAATACCTGGGATTACAGGCATGCGCCACCATAGCTGACTAATTTTGTATTTTTAGTAGAGATGGGGTTTCTCCACATTGGTCAGGCTGGTCTCGAACTCCCGACCTCAGGCGATCTGCCCACCTCGGCCTCCCAAAATGCTGGGATTACAGGCATGAGCCACCATGCCTGGCCCAATATTTATTTATTTAGAGACAGAGTCTCACTCTGTCACTCAGGCTGGGGTGCAGTGGCACCATCACAGCTCACTGCAGCTTCTTCCTTGCAGGCTTAAACAATCCTCCTGCCTCAGCCTCCCAGGTAGCTGGGACCACAGGTGTGCGCCACCATGTCTGGTTAGTTTTTTCAATTTTTTTTCTTTGTAGATACTGGATCTCATAATATTGCCCAGTCTGGTCTTGAACCCCTGGGCTCAAGCAATTCTTCTGCATTGGCCTCCTGAAACGCCAGGATTACAGGCATGAGCCATCACGCTTGGCCCAAACTAGTTCTTTTGCTCCAGTTTTGCAAGTGAGTGAGCTGAGAAGCCCCTTACTCCAATCATCAAGCCAGGATGTCTATGGCTCTTTCCCTGAGAGACGAAGTAGCGCCCTCTGGTTCTCCAGCCCACCCATTCTACAGATGAGGAGGACAAGGCAGAGTGAGGTTTCGTGGGGGCCAAGGGATTGGCTTGTCTGGAACCACCTTGCACAGGGATGGGCCTTCCCTTCCCCGCCTGCGAGGTCCCAGGCTGCCTCCCCAGATGGACCTGGGGAAAACAGCCAAATTCTCACTCCACCCTTCGCGCATTCATTTACTCAGTGATTATTTATGGAGACCCACTGGGGAGTTTGGTGGCACTGGAAATAAAGTTGCAGTTCAGGCTTTTTTTTTTTTTTTTTTTTTTGAGACAAAGTCTCATTCTGTCACCCAGGCTGGAGTGCGGTGGGTGACATCACAGCTCACTGCAGCGCAGCCTCAACCTCCCAGGTTCAAGTGATCCTCCCACCTCAGTCCCCTGAGTAGCTGGGACTGCAGGCATGCACTACCATCCCTGGCTAATTCTTTTTTTTTTTTTTCAGAGATGAAGTCTCACTGTGTTGCCCAGGATGGTCTTCAACTCCCAGCCTCAAGTGATCCTCCCGCTTCGGCCTCCCAAAATACTGGGATTACAGGTATGAGCCACCACATCCAGCCATACTTTGCAATTTAAAAGGGGAGATGTAGCCGGGTGCGGTGGTTCAAGCCTGTAATCCCAGCACTTCAGAAGGCTGAGGTGGGTGTGGATCACCTGAGATCAGGGGTTTGAGACCAGCCTGGCCAACATGGTGAAACCCCATCTGTACTAAAAATACAAAAATATTAGCCAGGCCGGGTGTGGTGGCTCATGCCTGTAATCCCAGCACTTTGGGAGGCCGAAGCGGGTGGATCACGAGGTCAGGAGATCGAGACCATCCTGGCTAACACAGTAAAACCCTGTCTACTAAAACCCAAAAAATTAGCCGGGCGTGTTGGCGGGCACCTGTAGTCCCAGCTACTTGGGAGGCTGAGGCAGGAGAATGGCGTGAACCCGGGAGGCGGAGCTTGCAGTGAGCCAAGATCGCGCCACTGCATTCCAGCCTGGGCAATAGAGCGAAACTCCGTCTCCAAAAAAAAAAAAAAAAAAAAAATTAGCCGGGCATGGTTGTGAGCGCCTGTAGTCCCAGCTACTCGGGAGGCTAAGGCAGGAGAAACACTTGAATCTGGGAGGTGGAGGTTGCAGCAAGCCAAGATTGCACCATTGCACTCCAGACTGGGCAACAAGAGCGAGACTCTCAACAAACAAATAAAAGGGGGGCAGGGAGACATAGCCTGGCATGGTGGCTCATGCCTGTAGTCCCAGCTACTAAGGAGGCTGAGGCACCAGAATTGTTTGAACGTGGGAGGCAGAAGTTGCAATGAACCGAGATCCCGCCACCGCACTCCAGACTGGGCAACAAAGCAAGACTTCGTCTCAAAAATATTAAAAAAAAAAAAAAAAAAAAAAAAAAAGGAATGGGGGGTGGTTGCCAGGCACAGTGGCTCACGCCTGTAATCCCAGCACTTTGGGAAGCCGAGGCAGGCAGATCACCTGAGGTCAGGAGTTCGAGACCAGCCTGGCCAACATGGCAAAACCCCGCCTCTACTAAAAATACAAAAATTAGCCGAGTGTGGTGGCACACATCTGTAATCCCAGCTACTCAGGAGGCTGAGGTAGGAGATCGCTTGAACCCAGGAGACGGAGGTTGCAATGAGCCAAGATCGTGCTACTGTACTCCAGCCTGGGAGACAAAACAAGACTAAAAAAAAAAAAGCGTTGGGGCGAGACACACTAATTGTACAATCTCAACAAAACATGATAACTGCACCGGCACATCCTTGCAGCTGTTCTTACCCCTCTCTAATTCACTCAGGGGCCTTGGAAATCCTAAATCACACCATCACCATCCCTGCTTCTCCCTGCTAGAAAATGTGCCTGCCCCTGGTTTCCTAGAAGACTTAGGAGAAACTTCATACTCCTTACCTGGTCTACAAAGTGGTCTTG